CAGCCAGGGGTCTTGAAGACAACCAGGGGTCTTGAAGACAGCCAGGGGTCTTGGAGACAGCCAGGGGTCTTGAAGACAGCCAGGAGTCTTGAAGACAATCAGGGGTCTTGAAGACAACCAGGGGTCTTGGAGACAGCCAGGGGTCTATTGGTAATCCCCTTATGTATGCTGGGAGGCAGTTGAACAGTCTCGGTCCCCTGACACTTACTGTGTTGTCTCTTAACGTGCTAGTGACACCTCTGCTTTTCATTGGGGGGATTGTTGCATCTCCTGCCCAGTTTTTTGCTGTCATAAGGAGCGATTTTCGTGTGCAAATTTGGTACTAACCCCTCTCGGATTTTCCAAGTGTAAAATCTCGCATTTCTTGACTCCTGTAAGATTCCTTTAGCTTAAGTTCGATGTTTGCTATTACTCTGACCAGTGTCTCCCTACATATTACACATACATTGTCCTCTTTTAGCCGCCCTGTTATTCTTCACCTTCGCCGGTATAGGGAGCGTCTCTCTCTTTCTAGTTTACATCTCCTTTTCCTAGTGTTATTTTTTTCTAGACAGGTTTGGATCCGTGTTGGTGTTTTGGACCTGAGATATGTTTATGTACACTGAGATGTTTATATCATCCTGTACACTGAGTCTGTTTGAACTTCACTGAGTTAAGACTGACTTCAGTCATTCCATCATGCAGGAACAGCCACATGTCTATCATACAGGAGGAGCCACATGTCTATCATACAGGAGCCACATGTCTATCATTCAGGAGCCATATGTCTATCATACAGCTAGGAAAATGACAGAATGGATAATGAGAACCTTCAAAACTAGGAACACAAATCCCATGATAATTCTCTTCAAATCGCGTGTTCTCTCTAGGCTGGAATATTTCTGTACACTAACCTGGAGAATGTATAAAGAACTCTCACGGCACACATAAGTACGATAAAGCACCTAAATTATTAAGAACAGTTGAAGTCCCTTGATTTGAATTCCCTGGAACGCAGGCGAGAAAGATACATGATAATATACACTGCACACGAAAATCACTCCCAGTGAAAGCAAAAGACTCGGCAGGAGATACATTCCCCCAGTGGAAAGGTTTCACCACCAGCTGAAACAGACATAAGTATATATAATCTTTTCCAGATATACCATTGTCACACCTTGCCTCATTATGTGCTGGAATGCGAGAAAATGAGTGAAATCAGAGACAACTCTCTGAGATATGTATTTTATCCACAGTGGTATATTACAAACTATTCTGGTAATATACCCTGACTTTACCCACTGTAAATAATGTATTACCACTGTACTTACCTATTTATACTCACCTATTTGTGGTTGCAGGGGTCGAGTCATAGCTCCTGGCCCCGCCTCTTCACTGGTTGCTACTAGGTCCTCTCCCTGCTCCATGAGCTCTATCATACCTCGCCTTAAAACTATGTATGGTTTCTGCCTCTACCACATCACCTTCTAGGCTATTCCACGACTTGACTACTCTATGACTGAAGAAATACTTCCTAACATCCCTTTGATTCATCTGAGTCTTCAACTTCCAATTGTGACCTCTTGTGTCTGTGTCCCATCTCTGGAACATCCCGTCTTTGTCCACCTTGTCTATTCCGCGCAGTATTTTATATGTCGTTATCATGTCTCCCCTGACCCTCCTGTCCTCCAGCGTCGTCAGGCCGATTTCTCTTAACGTTTTCTCGTAGGACAATCCCCGTAGCTCTGGGACTAGTCTTGTTGCAAACTTTTGCACTTTCTCTAATTTCTTGATGTGCTTGACCAGATGTGGGTTCCAAACTGGTGCTGCATACTCCAGTATGGACCTGACGTACACAGTGTACAGTTTCTTGAACGATTCCTTACTGAGGTATCGGAACGCTATCCTTAGGTTTGCCAGGCGCCCGTATGCTGCAGCAGTTATCTGATTGATGTGCGCCTCAGGAGATATGCTCGGTGTTATACTCACTCCAAGATATTTTTCCTTGAGTGAGGTTTGCAGTCTTTGGCCACCTAGACTATACTCTGTCTGTGGTCTTCTTTGCCCTTCCCCGATCTTCATGACTTAGCATTTGGCAGGGTTAAACTCAAAGAGTCAGTTGCTGGACCAGGCTTGTAGCCTGTCCAGGTGTCTTTTAAATCCTGCCTGATCCTCATCCGATTTAATTCTCCTCATTAACTTCACATCATCTGCAAACAAGGACACTTCTGAGTCTATCCCTTCCGTTATATCATTCACATATGCCAAAAACAGCACAGGTCCTAGGACTGACCCCTGTGGGACCCCGCTTGTCACAGGCGCCCACTCTGACACTGTGTGTATGTGTGTGTGATGTAATTCGTGTCTGTATACATAACTCATTACGACTGTGACCAGATATAAGCGTGTAAATCATGGGTATGATGTGACTATCAGCCACACCATGGATAACTCAATACGTGTAAGGTGTCCAAGACTCCTCAATACACTCTCTTGGTAAGGGAAATTGCTAACATACATCTGTCTTCAAAAAGGATGTTGATAAGTTCCATAAGACAGTTCCTAATCAGCCTGGCTGTTGTGCACATGCTGGTCCACGAGCAGGTTCACCAGGACAGGTCCTGGATCAGGCCTTCTCCATGTGGTGACCTGGCACCGCTCACAGCCCTATGACAGGGACAACCCTATGACAGGGACAGCCCTATGACAGGGACAGCCCTATGACAGGGACAGCCCTATGACAGGGACAGCCCTATGACAGGGACAGCCCTATGGCCGCTGGCTGAGTGCCAGAGTCACTCTGCAGATTCTCCTCAGGTGCGCTGAACACCTGACGACTTGAGACAAGTGGATCTACGAGCGGAGGGCACTAGTAGCCTGGTTGATCAGGAACCAGATCTGGTAAGGATCCAGGCCCCTTGAACAGTAGCCTCTGTAAGAGACTCCAGGGAGAATCCATGTAAATTCCAGACAGACTCCAGGCTATATTAGTACACAACCTCATTGACTTAACTCCTATGAACATCCACACTGGCACCCTGTTGCAACGTATATACTACTGCTACTATTACTACAACTACTATTACTACAACAACTGCTACTACTACTAATACTACAACCACTGCTACTTCTTGGGGAAGGACTGAAGACGTTCCATACAAGCCCCTGGGGAATGAGAGGTAATTTGAGTTGAACCCGAGGGAGTGTGACACAGACGTATGGTTAAGCAGTGGAAGCCTAAACTGACGAACTTTAGCGATGGTAGATGATGCATGGTAATGGCACCATTGTTCGTCATGGTGTTGACCACCATGGTACCGACTCGCTTAAGTATATACGTACATATTTATTCCCTGGTCTGCTGCTTTTAAAAATTGTTTTGGTGGTATTATTTACGCTTATCATGACCCTAGATAACTGTGTACTCAGGGTTGCAGGGGTCGAGTCACAGCTCCCGGTCCCGTCTCTCAAGATTGGTCGCTACTGGGTTCACACTCTCCTGGCTTCGTGAGCCATTAGAGATAACATAGGTTAGTTATTGAGTACGCAGCACCAGTATGGAACCTACACCTGGTCCACCAGCTGAAAAATCTGAAGAATTTTCAAAGATTTGCTACCAAACTAGTACCAGAACTGAGAGGCTCGCACCACGAGAAGTTAAAGGAAGTGAACCTGACCACCTTAGAGAGCACGACGAGGGAGACATGATTACTATGTAGAAAATCTTTACACGAATTGATAGGACTGATAAGGACAGCTTGTTTGAATTAAGAGGACCTGGATCAAGGTGACACAGATGGAAATTGAAGACAAAGCAGAGTCACAGTGATGTTGGGAAGTATTTCTTTAGCCTCAGGCTGGTTGATAAGACTTGGATGAGGTAGTGGAAGCAGAATCAATACACAGCTTCAAGAGTAGGTATAAGACCCCAAGAGGCCGACCAAGGTGATCTAAGAGGCGGGGCCAGGAGCTAAATATCAACAACCTTAAACACACTTCGGTGAGTACACACACACACACACAGGCGGTGCCAGGAGCTGTGACTCTACCCCTGCAACCACAAATATGTGAGTGCACACATACACAAATGGTTAGATTGTATTTTCTTGGACTCGAAGGCTTATGGCACAGTACTGCTCAAGACTGATACAACAGCTAGAGGAGTAGGCAGAAATAACAGGAAAAGCACTATAATGGATCAGGGAATACCTGACAGGAAGGAAACAACGAGTGATGGTAAGTGACGAGGTGTCAGAATGTGTGTATGTGACGAGTGGGGTTCCACAGGGGTCAGTCCTAGGTCCGGTGCTGTTTCTTGTATACGGGAATGACGTGACGGATGAAACAGGGTCAGAGGTGTCTCTGTTTGCAGACGATGTGAAATGAGGAGAATACAAGCGGACGAAGACAAAGGTTACGAAGGGATCGGGACAGGCTGCAAAGGGGTGTCCCACGAGGGAACTCAACCTGATGGCACTGGAGGACAGAAGGACTAGGGAGGGGAAGACATGGTAACGACGTACAAAATACTGAGGAACTGATAGGGTGAATAGAGACAGATTGTTTGAGAGATGGGACACAGGAACACGAAGGCCCAGCTGGAAGTTGAAAACTCTGATTCATAAAGATACTAGGAAGTATTTTTTCAGCCTTAGTCAAGTGAGTGAAGTGGTAGAGGCAGAATCCATACATAACAGGTATGATAGGACTTAGACGGCCAGGAGGGAGCCCAGTAACGACCAGCGGAAAGACGTGGCTAGGAACCGGGACTAGAGCCCTGCGAGCACAAATGTACGAGTACAATTAAGTGAGTACACACATTCTTCTGTGCAACTTGCAGGTTACACCCTTCACAGTTACGTAAAACATAACACTGATCTTCCAGTCTTGATGCTTATATCCCATACGATGCTTGCGAGTGTAGTAACAATTGTCGTAATGTGAGTGAAGGTCACTCTCGTATGTGTTGTAACCAATGCAGTATATATATATACTTGTTTCCGAGTGTCTGGTTGTAGTTAGTCCGGAATCAACACATCAACACCTCTCTCTGCAACCTTCAACGAGTCTAGTAAGTCTTGGTGAGTCGCTAGAATTAATATCTTAGAAATACTGAAAAATATTGTATATTATGTAACCCAGGAGTGCCTTATTAAGTATTCCTAAAAGTATACCTTATCCCCTGAAGGGATGCCTTTACTATTACTGGAGTAATAGTAACTCCAGTTCCGCTGGAATGAACCTCTGATGCTGCTGTGGCTTCCATGATTCTCGTTAATAACCTGAGAAAACTACTACCGATCGGCTTCAAACTTCCTGGTATACTGTAATTAGGAAAAAGTTTATGCAACTACTGGCATGTACACGTACTCGCTGGTCAATACTACTTAGACACGACAGGAAGACCGCACAAGAGATGAGGAGGCTGGGCTACCTGGAGGTTACCTGGACGTTATTCCGGGGATCAACTCCCCGCGGCCCGGTCCATGACCAGGCCTCCCGATGGATCAGGGCCTGATAAATTAGGCTGTTACTGCTGGCCGCACGCAGTCCAACGTACGAGCCACAGCCCGGCTGATCCGGCACTAACTTTAGGTATCTGTCCAGCTCTCTCTTGAAGGCAGCCAGGGGTTTATTGGCAATTCCCCTAATGCTTGATGGGAGGCTGTTGAACAGTCTTGGACCCCGGACACTTATGGTGTTTTCCCTTAGTGTACCAATGGCGCCCCTACTTTTTATTGGGGGCATTTTGCATCGCCTGCCCAGTCTTTTACTTTCGTAGGGAGTGATTTCTGTGTGCAAATGAGTGTACAAATGAGTCGCTCATTTGTACAAGAATGTAACAAGGCATAATACTGTGACTGGAACAATACACAAATAGGTAATACTTAGCACTACAAGTGATGTAGTTAGAGTTTAGGCAGTACAAAGTGGTAATCTAGGTAGTGGACTTGTGTACAGGACACCAGATACAACTTCCAAACAATTCAAGGAACGGCTGTCGAAGATTGACTACTGTCTGTAAGTTTATTCAGGTATACACATATACAGTTACATTGATTATCATACATAGCAGCATGTGTGTAGAGAACCTGGGATAACCCAAAAAACGTCAGACAAAATGACTTATTTCCATTGGAGTCCTGGATAACCAACCTCGGCTCCACGTAGCTTGTTACTTGGCGGTTTCAATTTAAGACATTGTAAACTACACAGAATGTAGCAAATGACAAGACATAATACCAGAAGGCAACACAGATGAACAGTCTCACACTGATGAACAGTCTCGCACAGATGAACAGTCTCGCACAGATGAACAGTCTCGCACAGATGAACTATTGAAATTATGTGATAAATTCGCCGTAAGCCAGCATACAGTGGCACCTAATTGAATTTTAGATTTGCGTGCACCAGGGTTCTGACCAGCGGTATACCAACAACCATGAAGGTGCTTTCTCCACATTCAACTTTCACAAGAGAAATGGGTTTAAATACCATAAGCCTCAGTATGATTCTGAGTTCGGTGAACCATTAATCAGAATGAAGTTTGGTAATCAAAATTAATTTTCCAAGAACGGGACTCAGAACTGTGCCCACATCTTCAAAGTTTCCAACTTAACCCTCTACTCGCCTCCGAAAATACCATTGACAACATGCCCATGCACTCCGCCTCAGACCCAGACTCCTGGAGGTTCATGTTCATCAAGAACTGCAAGAAACCACTATCAAGTACCTTAAATATTTTCTGGAGAGGGAGCCTGGACAACGAAGAATTATAGGTAAACAATACTTACGCTTCGCATTATTGAAATCTTTGGAGTTTTGGGAAGCATGATCGTCAGCCACTTGGATGCCCAACAACTGCACAACCCAGGGCAGCATGGGTTTAGAACAGGTCGCTCCTGCTTCTGACAACTACTGGATCACTATGACATGGTCTTGGATGGTCGCTCCTGCCTCTCACAACTACTGGATCACTATGACATGGTCTTGGATGGTCACTCCCGCCTCTCACAACTACTGGATCACTATGACATGGTCTTGGATGGTCACTCCTGCCTCTCGCAACTACTGGATCACTATGACATGGTCTTGGATGGTCGCTCCTGCCTCTCACAACTACTGGATCACTATGACATGGTCTTGGATGGTCGCTCCTGCCTCTCACAACTACTGGATCACTATGACATGGTCTTGGATGGTCGCTCCTTCCTCTCACAACTACTGGATCACTATGACATGGTCTTGGATGGTCGCTCCTGCCTCTCACAACTACTGGATCACTATGACATGGTCTTGGATGGTCGCTCCTTCCTCTCACAACTACTGGATCACTATGACATGGTCTTGGATGGTCGCTCCTGCCTCTCACAACTACTGGATCACTATGACATGGTCTTGGATGGTCGCTCCTTCCTCTCACAACTACTGGATCACTATGATATGGTCTTGGATGGTCGCTCCTGCCTCTCACAACTACTGGATCACTATGACATGATCTTGGATGGTCGCTCCTGCCTCTCACAACTACTGGATCACTATGACATGGTCTTGGATGGTCACTCCTGCCTCTCACAACTACTGGATCACTATGACATGGTCTTGGATGGTCGCTCCTGCCTCTCACAACTACTGGATCACTATGACATGGTCTTGGATGGTCGCTCCTTCCTCTCACAACTACTGGATCACTATGACATGGTCTTGGATGGTCGCTCCTGCCTCTCACAACTACTGGATCACTATGACATGGTCTTGGATGGTCGCTCCTTCCTCTCACAACTACTGGATCACTATGATATGGTCTTGGATGGTCGCTCCTGCCTCTCACAACTACTGGATCACTATGACATGATCTTGGATGGTCGCTCCTGCCTCTCACAACTACTGGATCACTATGACATGGTCTTGGATGGTCACTCCTGCCTCTCACAACTACTGGATCACTATGACATGATCTTGGATGGTCGCTCCTTCCTCTCACAACTACTGGATCACTATGACATGGTCTTGGATGGTCGCTCCTTCCTCTCACAACTACTGGATCACTATGACATGATCTTGGATGGTCGCTCCTGCCTCTCACAACTACTGGATCACTATGACATGGTCTTGGATGGTCGCTCCTTCCTCTCACAACTACTGGATCACTATGATATGGTCTTGGATGGTCGCTCCTGCCTCTCACAACTACTGGATCACTATGACATGATCTTGGATGGTCGCTCCTTCCTCTCACAACTACTGGATCACTATGACATGGTCTTGGATGGTCGCTCCTTCCTCTCACAACTACTGGATCACTATGACATGATCTTGGATGGTCGCTCCTTCCTCTCACAACTACTGGATCACTATGACATGATCTTGGATGGTCGCTCCTGCCTCTCACAACTACTGGATCACTATGACATGGTCTTGGATGGTCACTCCTGCCTCTCACAACTACTGGATCACTATGACACGGTCTTGGATTCACTGACGGACAAACAAAACGCAGATATAGTTTACACAGACTTTCCAGAAGCCTTCGACAAGTGCAACCATGGTGCAAAGCACAAAATACGTACAAAAGGAATGACTGGAAAAATGGTCAGACATTTAACTTCCTAACAGATAGAACACAAAAGTAACCAGCCATTTCAGAGGCTGCCACAGTGAAAATCTCTGATCCACACATTATAATCAAAAAGAAGCGCTAAGCCACAAGGGCTATACAGCGCTGCTCTGATCCACACAGTGCAATGTTCTTCTCCCATTCTTTTCCTCATTCTCATATCTGACATAAACAGACGATATTAGATGTCATCCAATGAAGGACATTGTTAATTATCAAGAAAATGAAGTCTTCCAGAGGGCCACAGGAAACAAGATGATGTTCAATGAGGACAAATTTCAGTTACTCCATTATGGAAAAATTCAGGATATAAGAACTAACAGGGATTTTGATTTAGTTGTGATAACCTGAAAAAGACTTGTCTGATCAGCTTAAATATATACAAATTAATGTAACACAAGACTACAAGTGTTATTACAATGTAACACAAGACAAGTGTTCCCACAATGTAACACAAGACTACAGGTGTTCCCACAATGTAACACAAGACTACAAGTGTTCCTACAATGTAACACAAGACTACAAGTGTTCCAACAATGTAACACAAGACTACAAGTGTTCCCACAATGTAACGCAAGACTACAAGTGTTCCCACAATGTAACACAAGACTAAAAGTGTTCCAACAATGTAACACAAGACTACAAGTGTTCCCACAATGTAACGCAAGACTACAAGTGTTCCCACAATGTAACACAAGACTAAAAGTGTTCCTACAATGTAACACAAGACTACAAGTGTTCCCACAATGTAACACAAGTGTTCCCACAATGTAACACAAGTGTTCCCACAATGTAACACAAGTGTTCCCACAATGTAACACAAGTGTTATCACAATGTAACACAAGTGTTCCCACAATGTAACACAAGTGTTCCCACAATGTAACACAAGTGTTATCACAATGTAACACAAGTGTTCCCACAATGTAACACAAGTGTTCCCACAATGCAACACAAGACTACAAGTGTTCCTACAATGTAACACAAGACTACAAGTGTTCCCACAATGCAACACAAGTGTTCCCACAATGTAACACAAGACTACAAGTGTTCCCACAATGCAACACAAGTGTTCCCACAATGTAACACAAGTGTTCCCACAATGTAACACAAGTGTTCCCACAATGTAACACAAGTGTTCCCACAATGTAACACAAGTGTTCCCACAATGTAACACAAGTGTTCCCACAATGCAACACAAGTGTTCCCACAATGTAACACAAGTGTTCCCACAATGCAACACAAGTGTTCCCACAATGTAACACAAGTGTTCCCACAATGCAACACAAGTGTTCCCACAATGTAACACAAGTGTTCCCACAATGTAACACAAGACTAAAAGTGTTCCTACAATGTAACACAAGACTACAAGTGTTCCCACAATGTAACACAAGTGTTCCCACAATGTAACACAAGACTACAAGTGTTCCCACAATGCAACACAAGACTACAAGTGTTCCCACAATGTAACACAAGTGTTCCCACAATGTAACACAAGACTACAAGTGTTCCCACAATGTAACACAAGTGTTCCCACAATGTAACACAAGTGTTCCTACAATGTAACACAAGACTACAAGTGTTCCCACAATGTAACACAAGTGTTCCCACAATGTAACACAAGTGTTCCCACAATGTAACACAAGACTACAAGTGTTCCCACAATGTAACAAGTGTTCCCACAATGTAACACAAGACTACAAGTGTTCCCACAATGTAACACAAGACTACAAGTGTTCCCACAATGCAACACAAGACTACAAGTGTTCCTACAATGTAACACAAGACTACAAGTGTTCCCACAATGTAACACAAGTGTTCCCACAATGCAACACAAGTGTTCCCACAATGTAACACAAGTGTTCCCACAATGTAACACAAGACTACAAGTGTTCCCACAATGTAACACAAGACTACAAGTGTTCCCACAATGCAACACAAGACTACAAGTGTTCCTACAATGTAACACAAGACTACAAGTGTTCCCACAATGTAACACAAGTGTTCCCACAATGCAACACAAGTGTTCCCACAATGTAACACAAGTGTTCCCACAATGTAACACAAGTGTTCCCACAATGTAACACAAGTGTTCCAACACTGTAACACAAGTGTTCCCACAATGTAACACAAGTGTTCCCACAATGCAACACAAGTGTTCCCACAATGTAACACAACAAGTGTTCCCACAATGTAACACAACAAGTGTTCCCACAATGTAACACAACAAGTGTTCCCACAATGTAACACAACAAGTGTTCCCACAATGTAACACAAGTGTTCCCACAATGTAACACAACAAGTGTTCCCACAATGTAACACAACAAGTGTTCCCACAATGTAACAAGTGTTCCCACAATGTAACACAACAAGTGTTCCCACAATGCAACACAACAAGTGTTCCCACAATGTAACAAGTGTTCCCACAATGTAACACAGCAAGTGTTCCCACAATGCAACACAACAAGTGTTCCCACAATGTAACACAACAAGTGTTCCCACAATGTAACACAACAAGTGTTCCCACAATGTAACACAACAAGTGTTCCCACAATGCAACACAACTGTTGTAATTAACGGTAAATGTTAACAGGTAATGTCTGGTATTGGAATCACCATCGGGGCGGGAGGCGCGGCTGCGGCTGCGGCTGCCGCCATTGCCGCCGCAGGCGCCGTCGGCTTGGGCGCCCTAGGTGTTGCCGCACTCTCCCGCAGGCGCAGCCGAAGCCGCGGCCACAGAAACACTTACGGTGGCTACCGCAACACCTATGGCGGCAGCCGCCACCGCAGGAGCGGCCGCAGGCGACACCGCAACAGGTATGGCCGCAATGTGGAGAAAGAGCCGCAGGTAGAGCTGGAAGAAGCTCTTAATAAGATCCGCAAGACAGACGTCACAGGCTGCGGCTTGCGGCTGGTCTGCGACTTGGCCGCAACAGATCGACTCTCTGTTGAAGAACTTGCAATATTGCAATTAATAGGGTGAGTTATTATTTTGAGCAATGTAATTCAAATATTAATGCCAGAAACAATGAAGAATTTAATGTAAAAAATTTAGATAATAAGAAAAACTACCAACCTAAAGTAATTTATCAAAACAAGACACCACGAGCCTAAGCTCGTGGCCACCAAGGCAGGGTGGCCACCAACGTAGGGTGGCCACCAAGGCAGGGTGGCCAGAAAAAGAAAAACTTTCACCATCATTCACTCCATCACTGTCTTGCCAGAAGGGTGCTTTACACTACAGTTTTTAAACTGCAACATTAACACCCCTCCTTCAGAGTGCAGGCACTGTACTTCCCATCTCCAGGACTCAAGTCCGGCCTGCCGGTTTCCCTGAACCCCTTCATAAATGTTACTTTGCTCACACTCCAACAGCATGTCAAGTATTAAAAACCATTTGTCTCCATTCACTCCTATCAAACACGCTCACGCATGCCTGCTGGAAGTCCAAGCCCCTCACACACAAAACCTCCTTTACCCCCTCTCTCCAACCTTTCCTAGGCCGACCCCTACCCTGCCTTCCTTCCACTACATTATTATTATAATCAAAAAGAAGCGCTAAGCCACAAGGACTATACAGCTCCTTCCACTACAGACTGATACACTCTTGAAGTCATTCTGTTTCGCTCCATTCTCTCTACATGTCCGAACCACCTCAACAACCCTTCCTCAGCCCTCTGGACAACAGTTTTGGTAATCCCGCACCTCCTCCTAACTTCCAAACTACGAATTCTCTGCATTATATTCACACCACACATTGCCCTCAGACATGACATCTCCACTGCCTCCAGCCTTCTCCTCGCTGCAACATTCATCACCCATGCTTCACACCCATATAAGAGCGTTGGTAAAACTATACTCTCATACATTCCCCTCTTTGCCTCCAAGGACAAAGTTCTTTGTCTCCACAGACTCCTAAGTGCACCACTCACTCTTTCCCTCATCAATTCTATGATTCACCTCATCTTTCATAGACCCATCCGCTGACACGTCCACTCCCAAATATCTGAATACATTCACCTCCTCCATACTCTCTCCCTCCAATCTGATATTCAATCTTTCATCACCTAATCTTTTTATCCTCATAACCTTACTCTTTCCTGTATTCACCTTTAATTTTCTTCTTTTGCACACCCTACCAAATTCATCCACCAATCTCTGCAACTTCTCTTCAGAATCTCCCAAGAGCACAGTGTCATCAGCAAAGAGCAGCTGTGACAACTCCCACTTTGTGTGTGATTCTTTATCTTTTAACTCCACGCCTCTTGTCAAGACCCTCGCATTTACTTCTCTTACAACCCCATCTATAAATGTATTAAACAACCACGGTGACATCACACATCCTTGTCTAAGGCCTACTTTTATTGGGAAATAATTTCCCTCTTTCCTACATACTCTAACTTGAGCCTCACTATCCTTGTAAAAACTCTTCACTGCTTTCAGTAACCTACCTCCTGCAACATCTGCCACATTGCCCCCCTATCCACCCTGTCATACGCCTTTTCCAAATCCATAAATGCCACAAAGACCTCTTTAGCCTTATCTAAATACTGTTCACTTATATGTTTCACTGTAAACACCTGGTCCACACACCCCCTACCTTTCCTAAAGCCTCCTTGTTCATCTGCTATCCTATTCTCCGTCTTACTCTTAATTCTATATATATATATATATATATATATATATATAATATATATATATATATATATATATATATATATACATACATACATACATACATATATGGGATGTTTCCCACCGAGGCAGGGCGACCCGAAAAAGAAGAAACACTTTCATCATCATTCACTCCATCACTGTCTTGCCAGAGCGGTGCTTTACACTACAGTTATAAAACTACATTAATACTCCTCCTTCAGAGTGTAGACACTGCATTTCCCACCTCCAGGACTCAAGTCTGGCTAACTAGTTTCCTTGAATCCCTTTGTTACCTTGCTCACACTCCAACAGCACATCATGTCATGAAAATCACTTGCTTCCATTCCTAACACACTCATTTGAAGTCCAAGCCCCTTGTACAGAAAACCTCCTTTACCCCGTCCCTCCAACCTTTCCTAGGCTGATCCCTATCCCACCTTCCCTCCACTCTAGATTTATACACTCTCCAAGTCATTCTATTTTGTTCCATCCTCTCCATCCATCCACTGCATTAGCGAAATGCGACAAAACAGAGTGTTGTAAACTGGGGCCCACCTGTACATTAAATAATGTATGTAAATTTATCATCGTTTTGGGTGTTACAGTGTGGTGCTCCCTAAGGTTTCTTAAGCTGTGACAGCACAACACACTGACATTACCGTCATGTAATGTCCAAACCACCTCAATCCCTCCTCAGCCCTCTGGATAATATTTTTAGTAACCCCATACCTCCTAATTTCCAAACTACAGATTCTCTGCATTATATTCATACTGCACATTGCCCTCAGACACATCTCCACTGCCTCCAACCTTCTCCTTGTTGCAACATTCACTACCCATGCTTCACACCCATATAAAAGCATTGGTATAACTATACTCATACATTCCTTTCTTTGCTTCCATGGACAAAGTTCTTTGTCTCTACAGACTCCTCAGTGCACCACTCACATTTTTTCCTCGTCAGTTCTATGATTCACCTCATCTTTCATAGACCCATCTGCTGACACGTCCACTGCTAAATATCTGAATACATTCTTTCCTATATTTAATTTCCTTCTTTTACACACCCTTCCAAGCTCACCCACCAATCTCTGCAACTTCTCTTCATTATTATTATTATAATCAAGGGGGAAGCGCTAAACCCGGAGGATTATACAGCGCCTGGGGGGGGGATGTGGAAGGCATTCAGGCTTAATTCGGGGAACTGGAGCACAGATCCAATTCCCTAAATCAAGAGCCCCTCACCAACATCAAGGAACCTTCCTTGAGGGGTACTTCTCTTCAGAATTTCCCAAAAGCACAGTGTCATCAGCAAAAAGCAACTGTGACAACTCCCATTCTGTGTTAGATTCTTTATCTCTTAATTGCACACCTCTTGCCAACACCCAAACATTCACCTTTCTCACAACCCCCATCCATAAATACATATATTGAACTACCATGGTGACATCACACATTCCTCTCTAAGGCCTACTCTCACTGGGAAATAATCTCCCTCTCTCATACATACTCTATTATTATTATAATCAAAAAGAAGCGCCAAGCCACAAGGGCTATACAGCCTACATACTCTAACCTGAGCCTCACTATCTCGGTAAAAACTCTTTACTGCTTTCAGTCCTCTGCTACCTATTCCATACACTTAAAACATTTGCCACACTGTTCTCCTATTCACCCTATCATATCCCTTTTCCAAATCTATAAATGCAACAAAGACCTCTTTACCCTTATCTAAATACTGTTCAACTATGTACATATATGGCTTCACTGTAAACACCTGATCTACCCATCCCTTCCTAACGCCTCCTTGTTCATCTGTAATCGCACTCTCTTACTCTTAATTCTTTCGATAACTTTGCTATACAAGGTTTATTTTCCCTATAATTCTTACTCTCTCTCTTTTGTCCCCTTTGCCTATATATAAAGTAACTATGAATGCTCTCTGCCAATCCCTAGGTACCTTCCCATCTTTCATTCATTTATTAAATAAAAACACCAACCATTCCAAAACTATATCCCCCCACTATGTGATAATTCTCCAGTTATTGCGCATAATTTATCAATTATACTTTATCATAGGTATGCATGTAAACCAAAAATTACTTACATAAAGGGTTTGCTACTATCCACGGTTTTGGTACCCACTAGCAGGAACTCCCTACCCCTGCTGATTGGCCAAAATTTTGGCTGATACCAATAGCCAATTTTCGGCTGATGCTGATACTCTGGCACATCCCTAATATTAATTACTATGGTGTGTTTGTTGCAGGCCAACAGTTAAACCCGGGGAAGGACTCTTGCCCCCGGGGGCATCAGGAGAGTACAAACAAGCCAAGTGGTATGGAGAGTCTGGGGGAGACTGTCATGAAGCCTTCCCAGACTGTCCTTATAATGGCACTCAACTCATGAACATTGTCATGGATTATCTTCCTTGATTAAAGAGTATGTACATGTTTGCTTGAGGACCACTATCCCAAAACATAAGATAGTGCACAACTTATTACTACAGTGCACCACACCCATCATTACCACAGTGCACCAGTCCACCACACACATCATTTCTCTCACAGAAGTATCCGGTATTAGTGTAGCAAACTGTTACATAGATCAGTGTTATGTGATTCTTCATGTACACATCAACTCATCCCTAATGTAGACAAACCTGCACTTACAAACACAGGCTATATAAACCTGCACTTATGAACACAAGTAACACAAACCTGCACTTATGAAAGTGACTCAGAACTTAGAAGTGGTGGCACAGTATCAACATGTTTAAGTTTATTCAGGTATACACAAATACAGTTACATAGATTATCATACATAGCAGCATGTGTGTATAGAGAACCTGTGATAACCCAAAAAAGTCAGACAAGAGTGACTTATTTCCATTGGGGAATTTAATCATCCTCACTCTATTTCTAAGCAACTTTTTTGAGTTGATAAACTAGGAATGATGTTTTAGAACCTTCTGCATTATTATAATCAAAATACAATGCTGAGAACGTCCTGTAGTTCATTACTGTACAGTACTACGCACATTATGTTCACGGGTGAGCGCTGAACTGACTGTAATAATAATAATAATAATAATAATAATAATAATAATAATAATAATAATAACAATAATAATAATAATGATAATAATAATACATGTACAGTAGAACCCTCATATCCGTGGGTCTGGTATCCGTGGTTTCAGTTATCCACAGTTCACTGTGGCCCAAAAATAACACTTAATTTTGCTTAATAATGGCCCCAAAGTGCAAAAGTAGAGACGGAAGTTTTTCAAAGCCTACGAGAAGCCTTGAACTGTTTCCCATCTGTAAAAGAATTGATATATTCACCTATTGTGCATAATTTATCAATTAAACTTTATAACAGGTTCATATAAGACTTATATACAGGGTTTGCTACTATCCACAGTTTCAATATCCGCGGCAGGTCCTTGGAACATATCCCCCGTGGATACAGAGGCCCTACTGTATTAATACCAAAATTAAGCACTAATCCCACAAGGGTCTATTAATAACATAGTTCCTTAAATTATGTTTTTCAAAAAAATATACATTTGTGTTACAGAACCAACTTAGTCGTTTCCTAACACGATTAAGCTCGTAGTTATGCAAAGTATTTCGAGAAGATTATTTTTACAATTAAGTCATACAGCATTTCGAACAGAGTAAAACTAGAATCTAAAATTGCTAGACAATGAATAATTCAAGTTAATGTTAAACTTAGCATCTAAATAACCTAAATTATTTGTAATCGAGATTATCACATGCAATGATAATTTCATATATTATTATAATCATAACTGAGTGCTAAACCCATAAGGGATAATTTCACATTACAAAATTGTTTATTAAAACAGAAATGATATGAAAGGACAGTCACACAAAACAGGAGCACACAGGTTTGATCCAAGGATAGAGAGGCTTGCTTTATATTTCTACTGTAATATTTCAAAGGTATACAAATGGTGATATTAATTGTATTAGAGGTATTATAATCACAAGAAGCAATCAATCAGTGTTGCGAGTCCCGTGTTTATTTTCAAACAATAGAGGATTTGTATATTTCTGTCTTAATAAATTTCCAAGATTTATTCCATCATGGTCTCAATCTACCGATGCATTTTTTCCCGATGTCACATATATTGTAATAATCAAGTTAAGCACTAAACCTGAGAGGTGGGTCACACAGCTGACCTAGTTATAAAAAGAACATACAGAGGTATACATGTGTATATATACCAGACATGGTCAATTACTATAATTATTATAATCACAACTATAATTATTCTAATCACAATTATAATTATTAAAATCATGGCTGAGTCACATAGTACTTTTGAGCCATCACATAGGGCATGTGATCCATTGCCTAAGACATATGAGCCATCACATAAGACATGTGAGCCCCACATGGCCTCATCTGGTATATCCATCAAGGTGTACATCTCTCAGTATACATATAGTGGTACCTCCGGATACGAACAGCTCAAAACGCGAACAATCATGTAAGTGTATTTTTGGGGGTGTGAAACGGATTAATCTAATTTACATTATTCCTTATGGGAACAAATTCGTTAGGTATCAGCACTTGAACAGCCTTCTGGAACAAATTAAGTTCATATCCCGAGGTACCACTGTATGGTTTATTTAAATCTAAGTGGGATATAGCCAGTTTGTCAAAAGAAGAAAGAAAGAAGATTTAGATTCTACGTATTTAAAGTATTCTTGATGTCAGTGCACAGGTGTATTATGGTTTCAATGGCCTGCATGCAGCAATCAGGCACAACCTGGCAAACTATCTTTTATTGGCTTCAATACTCACTAATCCTTGGGGAAGTGCAGAAGGAATTCTTCCTTTGTAACCAGTGTCATAAGAGGTGACTAAAATGCCAGGAACAAGGGGTTAATAACCCCTTCTCCTGTATAAATTACTAAATGTAAAAGAAAAAAGGCTTTATAGGTCGTCTTCTTTTTCGAGTCGCTCTGCCTCGGGGGAGATGGCCGGTATGTTGAAAAATAAAAAATGGTACCGGTACGACATTGATTTTCTGGACACTGATAGTCTGAAACCATAAAAATTAACAAGCAGGCACTTGAAATTCCCACGGCAGTGTATTTACCACCAAACTGTACGTCAATTATCCAACCCCAAGACCAAGGAATGCTGTTCTCTCTAATGGCAGAAAGATCAGTAATCTGGAAAGGCTTTGGAATCAAAGGTCCGGAAAATTGATGTTGTACCTGTAATAATGCTGGTAGAATTACTGACAATTTGTTTTCTTTTCAAACACAGCAGCCGTCTCCCACCGAGGCAGGGTGACTCAAAAAAAGAAAAACACTTTCACCATCATTCAACACTTTCACCATTTACACATAATCACTGTTTTTACAGAGGTGCTCAGATAGGACAGTCTAGATAAAAAGACACGTGGCCACATTTTGCTCTCCAGTAGCTTTGTCAAGCGAAACGTTGCCACAATATAAATGTATTAGTTGCACATGTCCTTTTACCTAACAAAAAAAAAAAAGTAAGTACTAAACTCATACGGGTTATACAGTGCATGGGGAATCGGAGGCAGTCATGTTTGATCCAAGGTGAAGAATAGGTTAACTTCCTTGTATTCAGAGCCTCTCATCGGCATCAAGGCACATTCCATGAGGGGTTACGGAATTATTGCAATTGTAGGGATGCCACATTTTATCTAGGAAAGGAGAAACCAACTCCGATTCCTTGCATCAAGACCCGCCTCACCATAGCATGACACACCCCCACAAAATGAAAGACGACCATCGGAAAACTCCTTACTTGATTTTGTAACCGAATTTGGGTAGGATATTTTGAAAGTAATGCTGCATTCGTAAATATATTTTGGGATACAAAACAACAGTAAGCTCTTACTTTTATTAAAAATAACAGGTCTTCAGATTCCGAAGACACAACTATATGCAAAGCAACCATTATTTAAATGATTAATCACTATAAAATTAGAATGCAATAAGCAACAATATTTTAATTAAATTAGTAAACCACTAATTATTAAAATAAATAATAAGCTGTCATAATTCATTTCCTTGTCCAAATATCCCATAATACGAATATTTCAAGCATACTAGATATATTAGTGGTGGGTCTTGCACTAAGACACTTGCTACCCCATAGGTAAGTCAAAATTGCTCTGAGGGTAAGGGAACATTTTTTGCCGTTGATTATTTCTGCTATCTGTCATTAGCCGCCATGCGGAGGTTTCCCCTGACATACATTACACTCACCGTCACACGTGCTACAGTGGTCAATAGATCAGCAACGTTTGAAATGCTAGTGCGTGTGACGCTTGTGATTTCAATGGATTAGTAAAGTTTGACCTGTCACTGCATCAGTGCAGCAATAATGCTTGCAATGATACTGAATCAGTAATGCTTGACCTGTCACTGCAGCAATAATGCTTATAATGACACTGAATCAGCAATGTTTGACATGTCACTGCATCACTGCAGCAATAATGCTGGACATGTCAATACATCAATAACATTTAAAACGTCACTGCATACGTTAGAAACATCCGCTAGACAATTCTGCATTTTATTTTGACTCCTTAATCATGATAATTTTGTCTTTGATTTTAACTACTTGACTATAATAATAATCTTAAGTGTTAGAGATCCATATTTTTTATCAATACTAAAATCACTTAAATTTTTAAGCAAGATTTTTTAATCATGAAAATCAACATGCATTAATATGTCTGTTTAATGTTTCATTAATCTTATGTTCATTTCATTTTACAAGACATAACATCACAATATGAAAAAAAACAATGGCTAACTAAAATATTTAAAAAAAAAAATGTGCCCATACCACATTCAAAGAAATTATCATCTAGCAATAACTAAATTAAATTTATTAAAAATAACCATCTAATCTTAAAAATTCATGTATGGTTTTGATTGGCTAAATTACATGGGAAATCACAAGAATTCAATTCGGGCAAAGTCATGAGGAAATGGGTCTTTCCAGGAAAGATCAATACATATTTAATACTACTGGGACAATAGTTTAGTAAGTACTAGGTCTATTGGGACAATCGTTTGGTAAGTACTCGGCTTTCCGCATATCAGGAACTACAGAGGAGGATATGACATTTATCTGAGATCAGAGGTCTATGAAGACTGGGTCATACAGCTTCGATATACACAATACGGATGACGGAAGTTTTACAACATGGTGTCAGACTCACAAGTTACTTGTTAACTGGAAATTACCACTGTTATCTAAGAGGGTATTTAGTTGTCCATTTTTATTGGGTTACTTGTATTTATCAATGGCAAAATCTAATTTGCCAATCCTAGTAGTTTAGAAATGGTTTATGAGACAGTCAATGGGTTTTAAATTCTAAACTACAGTTATGTTCATTCACTGGGTTTATGCATCTTACTGAAGGTATTAACAATCATCGGGACATGCAAAGAACATTCTAATTAACAAATATAATAAAAACAATAACAATTAAGATGTGTAACAGTGGTATTCAATACCGACAAGATGACGAATTATGACGTGTGCAACATCCGGGTATCATAACCTGCAGACATTTCGCCATCTAGTGGCTTTATCAATTCATTACATGGACATAAAATGAAGACTGTAGAAATATATACAGCAGACAGTGGAAGATAAGGTAATCAGTCCCTCAGCCTAGGCTGAGGGACTGATTACCTTATGCATGTATATCGATAGTCACTAGATGGCAAAATGTCTACAAGTAAAGATACCCAGATGTTGCACATGTGTCTAATTCATCAACAATAAAGATAATTAAGATATTTATCAACAACAAAAATTGCAAAATATCTCTTTTAAGTACCCAATTTCTTACACTTCAGGTCAAAGCATTTGCAGTACTGTACAACCCACAGGGGTTTTGAACATCACGTTTTGAAATATAATAAAAATCAGGTAAAAGGAAAACAGAGGAGTAATGAAGGTGTGGGGTCGCACCTTCAAGGTGGAGGGAAAACATGAGTGTGTGTAGAATGAACTGATTCAAGAATGTGATAATCGTAATGCATGCACATTTTCCTCCGTGATCTGACAACATTCACTGCTTGAGTTCAAAACATAACATTTAAGCTATCTGCAAATTATAAAGCTGCACTGTGTATGTACTGTTGGTATATGCTGTATATATCAACCAGGAGGAATTCTGAGGGCCCAAACCACCGATTCACTCAACATGGGACAAATTTGCTACCTTGCAATGCAAGAATTAACCCTTAAACGGTCCAAACATATATATACGTTCTCTTGCGTAGTGCTCCAAACGTATACACATGTATATACATTTCATTTGTGATTTATTCAACATTGGCACGATAGGCCTGAGTCGCCCAGACATGAGAGAATGGGTGTGCGCACTCAGTGTGCGCCATATGAAAAAAATTGGGGACGCCTGGGTACCACATGCTCTTTTTTCCTATAAAAAAAAAAGATTGTTTTTTTTTTCTCAAAATATTCGGGGCGCTGCGCAGGTGAACGTATATATATGTTTGGACCGTTTAAGGGTTAAAATTAACTGCAGCCAAACACTTATATGAAGCGCACATTTAACTTGACTCTGAATGTCCCAACGTTCCTGTCATTTCAAATTACAATTTCACATCTACAAATGTAACAAAAGAAGCAAGAGGATAGTAACCCCTTCTCTTGTATACATTACTAAATTTAAAAGGATAAAGTTTTGCTTTTCTTTTTAGGTCACCCTGCCTCAGTGGGATACAGCCAGTTTGTTGAAGAAGGAGTTGTAATGAAAGAGGAATTTGATGGGCCTTAACTACACATAAAAAACATGATATCACCTTCATATCTTTGATGTTATGTTATCATGTTCACTCAACGTCCAATGGGATGGTAGTTTGGGAATTTAGGGACGCGAGACATACTCTCACTGGCCAATAGGAAAAGAGAAGCATGTAGCCATATAAAATTATAAAACAATATGAAAAAATGATACACGAGATTTACTAACACCAACAAGAGATCAAGAAGCCATAGCCATTAAAAAAAAAAAAAAATAATAATCCTGCACTGCAAAGCTTCTAGTGGAGGAAAAAGAGGATTCCTCTACTGGAAAGTTTTCAAATGGAGGGAGAAAAATGGAATAAGTTACAAGAGGTAATAAGTGCTACAACCACTGGGAACATAAAATACTACAGCTAGGGGTTTCGATTAGTGTGAATAACGAATCCCACCAAGTGGTCGCATTATTCAAAAATTTGCACTATTCTAATGTGTAACTTTTTTTTTGTGCATGATTTGAAGAGTTTGGGGGATGGGGGGAACTAGCATAATTCTGCACTAAATCAAAATTTTCACTAAATACATAAAACGACGCACCACAGGCTAAGTTCCTATACCTTCCAATAGTAATATAATCACAAACAGGTAATTACTGGATAGGTAAATGAATAGATGCAACTAATATGGCATTTTATTGTGGCAACGTTTTGTTCTCCAGGAGCTTCGTAAAGCCATTACCTGGAGAGCAAAATGTTGCTACAATGAAATGTCACATTAGTTGCATCTGTGTCTATTTACCTAACATTACAGTGGTACCTCGGTATACGAACTTAATTCGCTCCAGAAGGCTATTCGAGTGCTGATACCGAACGAATTTGTTCCCATAAGGAATAATATAAATTAGATTAATCTATTTCAGACCCCCAAAAATACACTAACAAAAGCACTTACATAAATAGAATTACATAATTGTTCGTGTTTTGAGCTGTTCGTATCCCGAGGTACCACTGTATTAGGCCTGGTCACAGACCGGGCCGTGGGGGCGTTGACCCCCAGAACTCTCTCCAGGTAAACTCCATGTAAACCTGAACTGTCATTAAAAGTTACAATACGTAAAATTCCAATCTGGGACAACAGTGATGTCTTAATCCAGTGAACTTTGGGATTGGTTTTTGGTTATAATTTCTTTAATTCCCTGCAGCCTGGTGCTGGACTAGGGGGAGTTAATGACCTGATCAGATCAAATTGTTGGTGCTCATCAGCCACAATATTATAATAAAAAAGAAACGCTAAACCTATAAGGGTAAAACGTCACCACAGCCAGACTAATTAGGAATGATTTGCAAAAAACTTAGTTATATTTAAAGGAATGGATAACACATATTTCTAGTTATCTCTTATTGCATCCCTCCCTCTTATTCTACTTGTTCTAACTGTCCACAATGTTTTGTGTTCCTTTAAAAAGGAGTTATTTCAGAATGTAAAATTGGACACCATCTCTATAGAACTCTATAGAACATAGAATGTTCTGGTGGTCTGGTGGTTAACGCTCTCGCTTCACACGGTGAGGGCCTGGGTTCGATTCCCAGCCAGAGTAGAAACATTGGACGTGTTTCTTTCAACATGTTGTCTATGTTCCCCATCAGTAAAATGGGTACCTGGGTGTTAGTCGACTGGTGTGGGTCGCATCCTGGGACACTGACCTAAGGAGGCCTGGTCACAGACCGGGCCGCGGGGGCGTTGACCCCCGGAACTCTCTCCAGGTAAATTATAATGCAACTTTCTTTCCTGTGCTTCAGAGTGTAATTTGAGGAATTTAAGGTGTTCATAATTAACGAATTTAATCAGTGCTATCAGTAGTGCTCCTTGCACGTTCTCTAGGTCAGAAATTTTCCAAGTCTTAGCCCTTAAGCTGCAATCTGTGGGGAACAAAATCCCTACTCCCTTTGGGCAGGGTGGGATTGAACCCACGTTCAGAGAGTCTCGAAACTCCGTGGTATGGTTTGTTTGCAATCGTGTCATTACGATTTCGTGAGCCATCTCGAAAAAGTTAAGCAAAATAAAATTTCTATGATCGGTAAAAAAATGTTAGTACAGTACCAGTGTCAAGTGAATATGCTGCAGTCCTAATGCTTTGTGACAATGACTGACGTAATACACATAGCACCCAGATATGTATTTATTATGCTGTTTAAATACTATTTGTATTTGCTTTTACAGACATCAAACTTCTTTTTTTTTTTGGTTCCTTGATGGCCATTTCCTGCTAAAGGTGACCCAAAGAAGAAAACACATTCACCATCTTTCATTCAATTGTTGTCTAGCCAGAAGTATGCTGACATCACAGCTTGGAATACTTGCCACAGACTGCAGCATCCTCACCCTTCATTGTACTCCCCACCTCCAGGACTCAAATCTGGCTAACTGGTTTTCCTAAATTTCTTCATGCTCCAACATCATGTCTATTAAAAATTATGTCTCCATTCACCTCTATCTTTATTCAGGCAGGCCCACTTATACAGCAGGTTAGGTTCCGAGCTATCCCCTGTAAAGCGAAAAATCACCAAGGTGAAACCTAACTTTTTTGTCACTTTCAAATGCATATAAAAGCCCGATAACATGTTTACACTATCATATATGTACATTGGTACCTCGAGTTACGAACTTAATTCGTTCCAGAAGGCTGTTCGAGTGCCAATACCGAATGAATTTGTTCCCATAAGGAATAATGTAAGTTAGATTAGTCCATTTCAGACCCCCAAAAATACACTTACAAAAGCACTTACATAATATTTCGAGTTGGGAGCTGTTCGAAACTTGTGGTACCACTGTATTAAGTGAGCAATAAAGCTAGGCCTAAAAAATGCACATATAGTCAATAGTCCAAGTCGGACTGAAACGTCGTCGTAAGCTTCTCTCTTTTATGTGCGGGTTATTTGTGTATCGTTCCAGTCACGGTATTGTGCCTTTTTGTTATTTAGTACATACATTATTTACCTTAAAATATTTTGTCCTTCGCTTAAAGTGTGGTGAATATACTTATTGTAAGAAGTCAATGAAAAAAAGGTTTAACTAAAAAACCACTGCATTAGCGAAACGCAACAAAACAGAGTATTGTAAAACGGGGCCCACCTGTACATTAAATAATGTATGTAAATTTATCATCGTTTTGGGTGTTACAGTGTGGTGCTCCCTAAGGTTTCTTAAGCTGTGACAGCACAACACACTGACATTACCGTCATGTAGTTGCACAATGAACCATGTTTACACAATTAAACTCCTCACAAATGTATGCATCAATGAAGTGATGTTTTATCACATGAGAAACAATTGTTTTGCAAACCATACCACGGGCGGGATTGAACCCGCGGTCAGAGAGTCTCAAAACTCCAGACCGTCGCGTTACCCACTAGACCAGCTAGCCACAATAAGACTCTCTGACCGCGGGTTCAATCCCGCCCATGGTATGGTTTGTTTGCAATCGTGTCATTACGATTTCGTGAGTCAAATTGTTTTGCAAGCTAAGCAACTTTGGACCTACTGCTAGGACACGGAAAGGGACTCTAAGATTCTGCTTTTCTTCACTAGCCTACGTAAGTACAGTTATTTGTTGTGGATATCATCACTGGTTTAGCACTCTGATATCTATAATGGGAGGATCCAGGTGTGTGCATAATCATTTGTGTCTATCATCAAAACCTAACATCTGCATATATCACCACTGGTATTGATATCACTAATATAGTGGTACCCAGAGTTTCGAACAAAATTCATTCCAGAAGGCTGTTTGAGTGCCGTTACCGAACGAATTTGTTCCCATACGAAATAATGTAAATAGATTAGTCCGTTTCAGACCCCCAAAAATACACTTACAAAACCACTTACAACAATACATTTACATAATTGTTAGAGTTGGGAGCTGTACGAAACTCTGGGTACCACTGTATCTGGAATACTGTACTATTATATAACGACAGGTCTCTCCTCCCATAGTGTCCTTATACCATGACTCAAACTTTATTACTAAATACCGTCCCTGATATTTCACGGGGCACACAAAAATTTATTTTACCGAAAGTAAATCCTGTGTATAAGACCCCAAGATGTTCACCTGATGTAATTTGCACCGCATCTCACTTCCAAAATTTCTGCTAAAATTAATATGCTTAGGAGTGTCATTCCCGGTTTCAGGGTTAAATGGGGCTTAGGCTAGGTTAGGTTCATCAGGAAACTGAACAAGTGTTTCTTGACATGGGTCTTAGTCAGATGATGACCTGCTGTTCGAGCTTTTGGTCATCTGACCGAGGCCTTCCACTGGCTTACCGGTCCACCCCTTTAAAAATTATGGTTACAGTTATAACCAGGCTCTATGCAGCAACAATGCCATCATACAATTATTATTATAATCAAAACCAAGTGCCAAACCCACTATGGCTATACATTGCTAGAGGGTAGGGGAACGGGGGGGGGGGGGGGTGCTGGATCACAGAGTAGCCAAAGGTGGAGAGGATAACAGAGGTAGAGTTAGAAAGGGCTGTGAGGACTGATGAAGGAAGTATGACTGAAGTGCAGTCATACAAGTAACTTAAAAAGTATTATTCCTAGATTGGTATTTCTTATTTGCCTAGGTCTTCTTACCCAACCTATCACTTTTCTAGTGATGTGAGCCAAGAAAATTCCTCCATTTTTGTGTGATAAATTCATGATGGTTATATATAAATATACATTTTATATATACATAGTCCCATACACACTGAATATATAAAACAACAAATAAAACACAATCCGACTACCTCACACGTACCACAACATCCATCCCCCCCCCCACATACACAAGAGGACACAACTGGAAGCTGACAACTCAGATAAGTCATAGGTATCTTTGAAAGTATTTTTTTTAGCCTTAGAGTTGTCAGGAAGTGGAACAATCTAGAGAATGAAGTAGCAGAGGTAGGATGCATACAAAGCTGTAAGAAGAGGTGCAATAAGGCTCTTGGAGCTGGGAGAGAGAATGGAGCTAGTAGCGACCAGTGAACAGGTGGGGCCAGGAGCTGTGACTTGACCCCTGCAACCACATACAGGTATGTCTGTACACACACATAAAAGGCTTGTTCCTGAATGAAGGGACATGAGCTGTGAGTAGAGACTAATGGAATTTAATTTAATACAGAGGATAGAAGAACCAGGAGAGACATAACATATAAAATACGAAGGGAAATTGATATAGACAGGGACAAAATATTTGAGAGGCAAGAAATGGGCACTCAGGTGCACACCTCAAAGTTAAAGACACAGATGAGCCACAGGGATGTCAGGAAGTATTTCTTTAGTCTCAGTAGTCAGGAAGTGGAATGATCCCTATGAGGAAGTGGAGGCAGGATCCATACACAGTTCTAAGAGTAAGAGGTGGGGCTAGGAGCTAAGAATCGACCTCTACAACCACAAATAGGTGAGTACACAATCACACACAAACATAACCACACATACACAAACAGCCACACACACAAATACAAACAACCATGCACACAAATACAACTAACCACACACACACACACAAACCACACATAGAAACAACCATACAAACACAACTACACACACTGTGTTTTCATGTCTCTGGAAGAAAGCATAAGAGATGATATAATCACAACATATAAAAAAATGTTGGTGCCATACAAAGTTGACAGATTCATTACTACGGAAGGGGTCACAACAAGCGCCACAAACAGAAAAACACCCAACAGAGTCATAGCAAATTAAGAAAACACAGCTTTATTGTGAAGATCCACTATATAGAGTAGACTTCTACTCTATATATGGATGGATGATGGATCCACTATATAGAGTAGACTTCTACTCTATATAGTGGATCCATCACCATTATGTTAAAAGATACCTCATATTCACACACATCTCGCACTCAGGTGAGAAAACTTACGACAATGTTTTGGTGCATCCTGGACCATTGTAAAGACCCGATAGTAACTTAACAATGGTCCAGCATGGACCACAACATTGGTATAAGCTTAAATGTGGGGGGTCACATTAAGCTCTCTTTTAAAGCTCCAATGTAGTGTAATTTCTGTAGCTGCAATTAAAAAAAGTGCATTCAGAATTTAACAGGACATACAATGAAGGCACTACTCAATTACCAAGGTTATAATTATAACCATTAATTTCTGAAGTGGTGGAGTGGTAAGCCAGTGGAAGGCCTTGGTCAGATGTACCAAAAGCTCCGGCTACAGGTCCTCATATGACTAAGACCCGTGTCAGGAAACACTTGTCCTGTTTCCTGACAAACCTAACCTAAGTACTCAGTTTTAGATGCATTTCACTTATCAACTTTCTCAACATTTGGAAAAAACAATACTATGTAATGGAGATTTATAAGAGTACTTATTAAATTTGTAAATTTTTCCAGCCACAGTACTGTGTCATTCTTCTAGCCAATTCATACCATTCAAGTACGTATATACTTAACAGATGGAATGAGGGATTTTTTTTTTGAGATAGAATGTGGGATTTTTTTAAGAGATGGGATGAAGGATTTTTTTTAAGAGAGGATGAGGGAATTTTTTTTAAGAGATGGGATGAGGGATTTTTTTTTGAGATAGAATGCAGGATTTTTTTAAGAGATAGAATGAGGGATTTTTTTTAAGTGGTCAAGTGCCATGTGATGTAGCTGGGTACAGTACAAGCAAAGACAGGCTCCATAAAATCACAAAATACACATTATTAAAAGCATTTGACAAAGAGAAGAATACTGGGATAACAAAAAAAAATAGTCACCAAAAGCCCATAAATAAAACAGCCAAGGTATTAAAGGCCTGGTAAAGGGTTAAATTATCATCCAATGTTAAAATAGCCTTTAGCATATGGTTGGATATGTATGTACCTAACAGAAGGGCGCTTTTATTTACCTCCCACATCAGACTCAAATTTCCATGGGGAAGTCGAATAGAATTCTTCCTCCTTAAGCCACGAGTGTCGTAAGAGGTGACTAAAATGCCGAGACCAAGGTGCTAGTAACCCCTTCTGTATATATTAATAAGGTGAAAAAGATAAACTTTCGTTTTTTTCTTTTTGGGCCACCCTGCCTAGGTGGGATACTGCCAGTTTGTTGCAAGAGTCAGACTCAAATTAAAAAATGCAGCTGTTGTACTTGTTTGAAGAAACAATAGCCTGGTTGTAAGTGGATCACTGATATTGACAAACTGTGCAGTAAGGACACTTATGTACAGTCCAGGACACTGATTACAATGTCCTGAACTGTTCACAAGTGTCCATTCTCATACAACTATTAGTAAATGAATCTGCTCAACAGTGCCTACATTTGAAGAAAGTAGAAAATGCAGCTGTGGTATCATGTCAACATTTAAGGAAATGTGTGTTGAAAGTGGTAAAGAAATACCGATGACTAAGGCACTTGTGCAACAGTTAGTTACACAGTAGACTTCTTCAGTTAAATACAGAGGCAGCTGGAATGGTAGTGGAGTAAAGGTGATGTAAACAGCCAATCAACCTTGGAGAAATAGTTTCTGAAGTGGTCAGTCCCTCAGGCCAACCTCAGGGACTGACCACCTCAAAAACTTTTTCTCCATGACCAAGTTGCTGCTTCTGTATTTAACTGACCAAAGGTTTCAGCCAACAATAAAGATAACCAACTTTCACAAATGTGTCTTACTCATTGTTTTAAGATACAGTGGAACCTCAAAAATCGAACTGCTCCCAACACGACCAATTATGTAAGTGTATTTTTTAAGTGCTTTTATAAGTGTTTTTTTGAGGGTTTGAAATGGACTAATCTAATTTACATTATTCCTGATGGGAATAAATTCGTTCGGTAAAGGCACTCAAATAGCTTTCTGGACCGAAGAAAGTTCGATATTTGAGGTTCCACTGTATATAAAAAAATGCAGCTGCTGTATAGTACCCATATATAAAGGAACGAAAAGCAGAGAAAGATTCAACAATGATTTACAAGAAAATAGATCTCAGAATTAATATGTAAAAACAATACATCCAAGGTGGAAGACAAAGAGGAAGTTACATTATAACCCCCTTTAAGTTCATGAGAGTCTTTAACCCTTAAACGGTCCAAACGTGTATATACAGTGGACCCCCTGTTAACGATATTTTTTCACTCCAGAAGTATGTTCAGGTGCCAGTACTGACTGAATTTATTCCCATAAGGAATATTGTGAAGTAGATTAGTCCATTTCAGACCCCCAAACATACACGTACAAACGCACTTACATAAATACACTTACATAATTGGTCGCATTCGGAGGTAATCGTTATGCGGGGGTCCACTGTACGTTTTTTCAACATCTGAAAGTATGTAAAAAAATGTAATCTTTTTTTTTGTTTTACATTTGAAAACGTGTAAAAAAAACTTTTATTTACTGTTTTTTTTTGTTATATTTGAAAATATGTAAAAAAAAAGTAGATCTACTTTTGTAGCTACGAATTTGAACGTCGATCTGTTTGGACCGTTTAAGGGTTAAACTGTCCAAACGTAGATCTATGTTTACGTGCGTAGCGCTCCGAACATAGATCTACTTTTTTTTTTTACATCTTTCAAATGGAGAGAACAAAGGTTGGAGCGCTATGCACGTGAACGTAGATCTATGTTTGGACAGTTTAAAGGTTATTAAAGAAATAGATGGTTGAAATCTATATTAATCATCAAGAAGTAAACAAAAGGGGTAACCTTAAGTGGCAGAAGTGATAATAACTATTACAAAATGCACTTCTTTAACGAGTGGAGCTACAAGAGGTAAACAGCAATAACTATTACTGCTTAGGAGACAAGGAGGGTTAGGAGGTGTATACCTGGAGAGAGTTTCAGGGGTTAATGTCCCCCGTGGCCCAGTCTGTGACCAGGAGGTTTTGAGAGGTAGGGGTTTAATAGCCAGCAGGCATGTGAGTATTAGTTTGGAGAGAGTGGAGACAAACCATGGAATGGGTGGGATTTGAACCCATGGCTGAGTGGCTAATGCCTGCGAATTTTAGGACTTTCTTGCCATGGGTTCGAATCTTTTTTATTCCGTGGTTGGCTCACATTCATGTTATTACGATTTCCTGAGTCAGAGACAAGCAGTCTGAGATTTACCATACTGTTGGTGCAAGGAAGGTAAGAGTTACGAAGAGGTGCAGGGATATAGTTACTGGGTACGAGTCCTGGAGGTGGGAAACATAAAGCACACACTCTGAAGGATGGTTGAGTATGTTGTGCATTGATATTATTAGGACAGTAATGTCTGTGCTTTTTTTTTTTTAAAGACAGTTAAGGAATAAGTGATGGTGAATTGTTAAAGAAAGGGGAAAAAACAAGAATAGCTCTACTTTAAAAACAAACCAGCAATAATTTGTGGCAATAACACATGTACACAATACAATTTTTGAACAGCTAAAATAAAGGTCAAATCGAATTTGTTCATCATCAGAGGGGGAATTAAAAATAAATTAGAAAACTTATGCAAAATGATAAGTATGAAAAAAGCTTTATTAGACTTGTGAATATCTTCACAATCAAACAAGAGTCAGCGCCTGCAAATAAGCATAAGGCAGATCACACAGAAATGACAAATATGAAAAGTACAAACAAGGAACTTGCAATTTCTGATGGAACTGAACATAAAAAAAACAGACCCACAAGACAACAACTGTGGAGGAAGATGTAGGCTCTTGCTCACAGCTACAAGAAAGACTATACAGAGAACTGCCATACACCTGAAAGATGGCTGGTGTATTTCCAATATTTAACATTAAACTACAAACCAGTAATGCTGTTGGGTACACTATGCAAGGTACTGAGGAACAGCTGGAGACAACACACCTTGTCACAGCTGGAGACAACACACCTTGTCACAGCTGCAGACAACACACCTTGTCACAGCTGCAGACAACACACCTTGTCACAGCTGCAGACAACACACCTTGTCACAGCTGCAGACAACACACCTTGTCACAGCTGCAGACAACACACCTTGTCACAGCTGCAGACAACACACCTTGTCACAGCTGCAGACAACACACCTTGTCACAGCTGCAGACAACACACCTTGTCACAGCTGCAGACAAACACACCTTGTCACAGCTGCAGACAACACACCTTGTCACAGCTGCAGACAACACACCTTGTCACAGCTGCAGACAACACACCTTGTCACAGCTGCAGACAACACACCTTGTCACAGCTGCAGACAACACACCTTGTCACAGCTGCAGACAACACACCTTGTCACAGCTGCAGACAACACACCTTGTCACAGCTGCAGACAACACACCTTGTCACAGCTGCAGACAACACACCTTGTCACAGGTGCAGACAACACACCTTGTCACAGCTGCAGACAACACACCCTGTCACAGCTGCAGACAACACACCCTGTCACAGCTGCAGACAACACACCTTGTCACCAAGTATCAGACATGATCTAGGAATGGCAAGTAATGCCTTAAATATAATGGACTAAACACATCGACTCCAGGCTGAGGGACTGATTACCTCAATCATCTCATCTTCCACTGTTCTTCTCTATGTTGGACTGAAGAAGCCACTGGTTGGCAAAACGTTCTTCAGTAAAGATTCCCAAATGTTGCACAAGCGTCTCATTCCCCACCACTTAGGTAGGAAGCTAAGAAAATATAAAATAGTGTGTGACCTGGGTGGGGAGTAACTCATGGAGTTAGGTAAGACAAGAGACCTGGTGGTGGACATCACACCTAACCCGTCACCTACAGGAGAACTAAACAATGACATCAGGGACATGTATTAGTGTAAAGATGAAAGAAATCTCTTTTCATCACTATTCACTACATAGAGCAATCCTTGAGTAGGCAGCACCAGTGTAGAACCCACACATAGCAAAGCACAAAGGTAGAGAAAATTATGAAGCCCACCACTAGAATGCTATTACAGGTAAGTTGAAAAGACGGTAGAGGAAAATTTTGTGAACTTGATTTGATAACTCTTGCAGCATACAGATCAAGAGGTGACATCAAGACACACATAATACACTTGGGCATAATCAAGGAATAGCTATCACAGGGAGGGGACAAGATGAGAGGATACAGAGGCAAAAGTGGCAAGTGAATCATACACATTAATAAACATTTCTACAGTATGCAGGTTGGTAGAGAAGGACAATATAGTGAGATACATTATTAAGAATTTGTACAGCATGCAGGTGGTAGAGAGGGGCAATATAGTGAGACATATTATTAAGAACTTGTACAGCATGCAGGTGGTAGAGAGGGGCAATATAGTGAGACATATTATTAAGAACTTGTACAGCATGCAGGTGATAGAGAAGGGCAATATAGTGAGACACATTATTAAGAATTTCAACAGTATGCAGGCAATACAGTATTTCTACAGTATGCAGGTTGGTAGAGAAATGCAATATAGTGAGACATTAGTGAATCACACTTATTAGTAATCTTTTGTATAGTATGAAGGTGGAAGAAGGGGAGTTAATATAGTGAATGATGCAGAAGACAACTACTCCCTACATGAATTTATAAACAAACACAACAAAGTTCGATCATTTCAAGCACGTCTAAGTTAGGACATTTATCCCAGGACCTACATTTTAACACCTGCGCATTCAACTAGATACACACAAACATATTCAAGTCTTCACAAAGGAAACACAAGATTCTGAAGGTGTCAGGTTGTCATGGCTATTTGGGTGATGACCGATTAAGTATCTCTGGTCATGCAGTTACCAGGAAGCCCATAGCTAGATTGCTAAGATAAAAAAACTACAAGCCAGTCACTTACTCACAGGCATACACACACACTTTAACAATATATATACATGCACAAACATTTGTACAAATATGAACAATACATATATACACATGCACAAATATTCATACCAAATGCAGCATTAATATACACATTCTCTCATTCTAAATACATAAAGAACTGATGTATATGCTACAGTACAGACAATATTCAACAATGCTTCACAAATTTTGATAACTGCTACACCAACACAGTGTATCACACTTACATATGATAAACTTTAACTACAGTGAGGTATTCATCGGAGTTATGAAATACAACCATGATAAACCATACCATGGGCGGGGATAGAACCCGCGATCAAAGAGTTATAAAACTCCAGAGCGAAGCGTTAGCCACTACCTAACGCGTCGGTCTGGGGTTTTTATGGCTCTTTGATTGCGGGTTCTATCCCTGCCCATGGAATGGTTTGTTTGCAATCGTGTCATTACGATTTCCTGACTCATGATAACTGTGATCAGTCTTACATTTGCTTCAATGACTGTTACTGTACGAGTTCCTCTATATCACTGGATACAGAGTACCTGGGTGTAACAGATGAAGACCGTTTCTAAAGAGTATACCTCTCTAAGGTTAAAATATGTATACACAAAAAAAAAAAAAAAAAAAAGTGACAAAAGGGACCCATGTGGATTCTAAACAATGGTTGTCATTCCTTGGAAAAAGATGTGCATACAGTAAACGCTATGTATAAACAGTGCAGCATGCTAGACAGAGCTGAAGTCGAGCAACACCCTGCAATTCTGATGGAAATATGCATTTAAAGGTCTACACCAGGGGCTCTCAAGGATTAATATTATTTTAGAGTGCTTCTCTTAGTGCAGATATTTGATCTTCAACTATTGCTGTGTGTGCAGAGATGAGTACATTGAAATACTATGCATAGTGTGTCCTTACCTTTAATATGCAAGAAAAAGAAGGAAAATAGAGGTACTCAAAGAGACTTGGCAATATACAAGGGATAAAAATGGTATGTGATACCAAGAAGCAGTAACAAAAAAACTTAGTGCATTTTACTTAACACATTTCAGTCTGGGGACATTGGCCATTTTACATCGGAGTGACCAGGGTCCCTGAACTGAAATGTCTCCAATAAAAAGTCCGAGTGTTTGCATTCCGTCTTTTTCCCAATATACATGACAATTTATTATACATATACAGTATCTGTTAATGATTCTAGGAAGCATTATAGGCCACACCCTGCGCTCAAACCAAGCCTCCTAAACTGGAAAGAAACTATTATAGAAATAAGAACTATTACTCGAGGTACAGGTGCTCCTTGACTTATGATGGGGTTAGGTTTCAATGAACCCATTGTAACTTGAAAATATCGTAAATTGAACAAGAAATGATATGCAAATAAATAACTCACCGAATAAGTAAATAATTACTGTGATTACTAGTACTGAAACAGAAGTAAGTGAAGACAAATTTATCTTGTCAATAAATGTACAGTACTGTACAGCATCACCATTGTAAAGTAAAAATGTCTTAAGTCAAACCATTGTAAAGCGAGGAACATCTGTCTAAGTTTGTAAAATTGACCTGTAATCTTGCATGCTTCTGAAAAAAAAGTGAAGATCCTGCCCAAGTGCAAAACATTAACAGGCTTCCGTTTCACACCTGCATAACAGGATGGTAATACCTCCCTGGATACTTTTGATTATGTAGGAACAAGAAAAAATTCATACAATATTAAGTGGAGAATGGAAGACAAAAGGTTTGGGGGATCTAAATCCCAGTTTTCTGGCAAAGCAACTAATTAAGAACTTTTGGAGGAATTTATGCAAGGTTCACTATGCACTTAAATTTTAATCACACACATCACAAATGTTCCTGTTAGAATTATAGGTTTATAAAATTTAATTATAGAATTATTTATATTACATGGCACATGCATTGAAAGATTATATTACATTATAGGAATGTATTTCTGTTCCCTTACCCCCACCCAATCTTGGAGATGATGGAATATAGCAATCTCGTTGCCCTCTTTTACCTCCATTTCCGCGATCCCCATCCACGGTCAGATGGTTTATACAAGGAACCATCACAGAATAAAACCAAAGAATTGTTTTTCCAGATGTGTAATGAGTTGGCTTGCCTCCAGGGTCTATATTAGCTGCCATGAGTAAAATAATATTCAAGCACTTGGAGGAAAGCATCATAACACTGATTGGTGAATTACGAGTCACCACTTGGACAGCAAAAATTAAAATGGGGTAAAAAGTTGGAATAAAAATTATATACAGTAGGTTCTTAGAAACCTGTATAAAGTGTATATTTTTTTTGTAAATGCAATTGAAAAGAGTGCATACAAAATTCAATAGTCCATACAATGAAAGTGTTTCCAAATTCTTTTAAATTTGAATGCACTTTTACATTCATAATTGAATATGGTCATGCATTGCTTAACGATGGGGTTACGTTCTGAGAAATGCATCACTAATCACCTGCACTTTCATTTTTTTGTTAATCACTTGATGTGGCCTTTTGATGGCAACATTAGCAATGGATTTTGTATGTTTAAGGGCCATGAACAGCAATACAGCATGAGATTAATTTTACGGGACCACCGTCATATGTATGGTCTGTTGTCGACCAAAGCGTCATTATGCCATGTATGACTGTAGTCCATACCATGAAAGCCTTTTCACACACTCTTAAATTTGGATGTACTTTTTAAATCGCATATAAAATAAATCAAACTATACAGAAGAACTTTGTAAGAGCTTACCGCAGAGTATGCTGTTATTGTGACAATGTTAGACCTGATGAAGCTCTACACAAAGCAAAACATTGCCACAATAAAAGCTTCTGCGTAAGTCTTTTACACCATCTTGTCGGCATCTCACCCATGCATCCACAGGCAGAGAGATCTGTATAATTCAGCCTAAGTAAGAGACCCTCTTCAGCAGACAAGGTGAATATGCATCAATGGTAGAACATACCAACAAGAATGTTAAGATAAAATATGTGCTTCATGGCATTTTATCGAGAAGACGTTTCGTCCACCAGGGACCTGATAAATTCTCACTGGTGAGAAGGGACGAGGACCCTGGTCGATGAAACAGTGACAAAATATGCCATCCTGACTCACTGAGTTAGCCACAGCTATGCTGGGCTCCTGTTAATTTCCCTATGATGTATAGAAATATACTGTACCTAGTTGGATAAATCTTAGTACAGCCAGCTGGTCCAATGGTTAACACACTGGCCTGCGAATTTTAGGACTTGCTTGCCTTGGGTTCAAACCCAACCTGTTCCCTGATTTATTTACTGTATCTTATTAGCAGATCTGCTGAATATCTAATTTTTATGCAAGTGGTGACTCATTCTTCATACACAAGAACATTATTATTAAAAAAAAAAAAAAAAGCTGAGAGGGGCTTCACATTATCCAAAATTTTTATCTTACAGCTTAAAAATTACGATAAAAACATCTCTCATCACAAGAATATTAGTGATTAAAAATTTCTTTTGAAAACAGTTCTCTCCAATAAATTAATCACTAAATTTAAAATATTTACATGCTGCATCTGATAACGATAGAGGTTTGAAAAACCTGTTCCAATGCACTTTTATGCACGTTCAGCAAACGTAAAACGTGTTACAATACACTCTCATGAGAGTGTATTGTAACACAAGTTGTTACAATAAGCCCTTGTATGGGTTCTCCTTGAGTTATGATAGAGTTATGTTCAGACAAATCCATTGCAAGTCAAAAATATTGCAAGTCGAATATGAACATGATAAATAAATACCCAAGTACCATCATTGAATAAGAAAATAAACAAATAATTACTGTAACTAAATACCGGGATTGAAAAGTAAATAAATGAATATAAATTATGAAGTTGCTGCCTTCATGCTGGGTAATTATCTTAAATTTCACCTCCAACGTAACTGCTTTTTCACCATTGTAAAGTCACAATATCACAAGTCAAGGAGCACCTGTACTCATTTACTAAACGTAAAATTTCTTCCAATGCACCCTTATGTTCATTCAGCAAACATCCCAGCTATTATGCATATATAATCCACCTACCTGAACTGCAGATTATAAACCTTTTATGCAAGCCCCAACAGCAATAGTGAAGAAGTGTTTATTAAACAATATAAACATCTATCTCTTTTGTTTCCTCAAAATTTTCTGGGAAAATCTGAGTTTTGAATGGGTGACAGACTCATACACACACTATGTAAGGGACTACCATTCTTGATAGCTTTACCATACTACTGATCAATGGGATTGCATTCATGTATTTGACATACAGCTAGGTCTCTATTAGTGCGAATAATAAATCCCGCCTATTGGTCGCACTATTCGAATTTGCGCTATCGAATTACATTAAATTTTCAAGCGTGGTTTGAAGAGTTTGAGGGCGGAAGGGAAAATAGCATTAGTTAATTTTGCACTAAATCAAAAACGCACTAATTGAGACCTAGCTGTATTTGACATACTGACAGTGACTGTATCTTTGACATTCACATTTGAATTTTCACCTAAGGCACAGATGTCTATTGTACTTTTTATCTAATTAATTTTGTAAAGCCAATGAACTACAACAAAAAATAAAAATCTTAATGTATCTACACAAGATATAAAATACTGTACACTACAATCTAGGTCCAAAATGAGTAACAGAAGAAAAAATTTAAAAATAATGATGATTGTGTCTCATGCAGAGAGCACACAGGCTCAATTAAATTGAATTGACTGGGCAGTCATGATACATTACTCTCAAACAATGCAAATAAAGTGGCAACAAATACACAACACGGGAGACCGCATCATATTCTCCACCTTACCAGTCTCTAAATTGTATAAAACTGTGAAAATACATTTTCAGTTGCTGAATTTGTTTAGCATAGTCATACATACGAAAACTAATGAATGAGCAGCTGTGTATGCACGTGTGTGTGTGTGTGTGTATTGTCTTGTTTACTCCCACAACAGGAGTAAAGTGACAGCTTACTACACTTTAACCTTCCCTTTGCGTGTACAAGATATTTTTGAAAAACGCCTCGCCTGATTCCTAATTGAAAAAGCGTCCTATTTCATCAATGGGTTTATAATTTTTTGTAATATAACTTCTGCTTATATTTTTTGAAAATATAAGAATTATTAACCCAAGTATTCAGCATATCACAGTCCTTCAACTATGAAAATTTAACAAGGGAAAACAAAAATAAAACACATGCATTGAAATATCAAAAGATGTGAATCTACAAAAGAGAAAAAAAATGGAAAAAACAAAAAAGTATCTTGGAAGATACTATTGTGTGCAGTTATAAGAATTTTTTTTTTTTTTTTAAGAGAGAAAAGGACATCTATGCAAAAACTGAAATAACCAAGTTATAAGAAAAATTAGCCTTTCAATTTTTTTTTAATGGCAGCTTAAGGAATAAGAGTCTATATTCTTTCTTCTTTCTTTCAACACACCGGCCGTATCCCACCGAGGCGGGGTGGTCCAAAAGAAAAAACGAAAGTTTCTCCTTTTACATTTAGTAATATATACAGGAGAAGAGGTTATATATATCAGACATAAAAGCATGTGGATCAAGGCAACACACAATGGAGGAAAAAGAAATCACAATACTACTGTTGGAACAACTGAAAACGAACTCAAAATCTGCAGAGACTTGAGAGAACACTCCTGTCCTCTGGACCATGAACAAGCAAAGGATAGACTGAAACATTATCTTACAGTCCCTCTCTGAACCATTCATGGAGTAGTTATGTGGTAGACAACGGAGACTCACATTCCAGTCGAGCTGCACCAATAAGGAGCAGAAAGTAAACATTACCAAATAATTTTGAGCCTTCACTGTATTCTAGATCTATGATATTTATTTTTTTAATAGCAAGAGATACATACTATGTGGGATTTTATTCTTTTAATGAATTTTTACAGGTTCTTGTTCCAGTAAGGGTGTCTAGCCAAAATTAACTGAAGACAAGCTTATAACACCAATAATGATTAGTTTGGAACTCTAGAAAAATACAACAAAGAAGAAAATTAAGTAACAAAAAAAGGCACAATACCGTGACTGGAACGATACACAAATAACCCGCACATAAAAGAGAGAAGCTTACGACGACGTTTCGGTCCGACTTAGACCATTTACAAAGTCACATTGACTTTGTCAATGGTCCAAGTCGGACCGAAACGTCGTCGTAAGCTTCTCTCTTTTATGTGCGGGTTATTTGTGTAAGAAAATTAAGAGTAAACAATGGAATCAGTAATAAGGGAAGAGCAAAAGGAGGAATAATTTTAATTTAGTACAGTCTAAGTGTTCTCCATGGGGAAGTGGAGAGGAATCCTGCTGTAAGAGGTGACTAAAATGATGAGAGCAAGGGGGCTCTCTTCTCCTGTATAAATCACTAAATGTAAAAAGAAATGCCTTCTTCCTTTTCAGGTAACCATGCCTTGGTGGGACACAGGCCATGTCTTAAAAAAAATCGAAGTGTTCTTATTACCATGTCCCTTGCTATGATTTTATCCGATTCACATACATTTAACCTATTTTATTTTGAATGTTATTTATGCTTCGTCCACCCCGCCTCGGTGGGATACGGCCGGTGTGTTGAAAGAAAGAAAGAAGATTTATGCTTCGTATACTTTTTCTTTTCAACAAACGCTGTATCCACGAGATAAGGAGAGCCTTTTTTAATACATGAACAAAACTATTTAAACAATATCTAAAATACTATAATCCTTCTGGAAGTAAGTTACATTCAAGTCTGCCTGAAATGCTCTGCATAACTTAGGGGCTGCCCTTGTGAATGATGGAAAGCTATCCAACTCTGTACAGACAGTGTATTAAGTATAGAACGGGTGGGGCTTGAACCCATGGCAAGTGAATCTTTACATTCACAGGCCAGTGTGCTAACCACTGACATGAGAGTTTTAGGACTGACTCACTCACAATGGCTTCAAACCCCGCCCATTCTGTGAACTGTTTGCAAACGTGTTATGATTTCATGAGTAGCAATTATGTGGAAAGAAATACTGAATGATTAAGAAATAAAGATGAAAAGAAAGAATGAGAAAGAGGACGAGCAATAAGAGGAGGGTTAAGATTAAGAAAAAAACGGAGCAGGTAGGAGAAGGAACAGGATCCGGAGACACACAGCACAGACAAGACAAAACGTAAGCATAATCACAAACAGTAAAGCAGAAAGCCGAAAGAAGCAACTGGATTACAACAACAGATAATCTAATTTCATCAGCATATAAGATATCCTAGTCACATCACATAAACAAGTTGCTTGACAAAATTCCAGTGACTCCTTCCCCACTTTAATTCATGATAGACTGTACCTCCATATGATGCTTCTCATTTTTGATTGTGATTGAGTATTAATCTTTAGTTTTTAGCGTTCACTCAAAGTAGAATATTGAAAATAGAATATTACATCCGTAAGTGTATTACAAGTTAACAGTAAAGCAAGTGGGACCATGGTCCAGGATTAATTACTACCAGGCAATGTTATATTATAATAATATGCAACATATCTATCCCAATTTCTCTTCCCTCCCACCACGACTAACACATCAGTAGGCTAGCTAATGCTAGCTCCAATATATCAACCCTCGACTTCAATTAGGCAAACATGGTACTGATATCAAGAGTGATATAATGACTTCTTTTTCTAGGCGATAACACCGCTAAGTACATAAAATATTTCATAAAGGAGATGTCTAAGACTAATAAGATATTCCCACCATCTAGCAAGTGGTTCTTATGCAATCTGCTAGGCATGCTAACCTTATGCATGTCTGCACACTTCATTCATTCATTAATGATTTGCCGGTGCTTACGGCCCGGGTCTTCTCCAGATGGCGACCCTTTCAAACACTGAAAATCTTCCGTATTACATATAATATTCATAATACAGGAAGTTTTCAACTTAAGAACATGCTGGGGACCTTCTGTATGGTGTATAACAATGATATTATACACAATACATTAGATTCTCAATGTGTTTGTAAATAGAGGACTTAAAGTACTCTAGCCTTTGCATTTCACTAACACATGGTGTCGAGGGGCAACTGAAGATGATGTTTCGATCTGTCCTGGACTGTATAAACTATGGTAGCCAAGAGAAATGATTTAAAAAAGTGCGCAACACTATGACATGTTGATAAGAAAACATTTCAGTCCTGGGATTTTGATCACTTTGGAAGTAACTAAAGTCCTAGGACTACAACATTTTCTAATAAATTAGAGTATGTCCTAGTGCTTTTTTACATGTCTTTTTACACCACAGTCTGAGACCATTATCAAAGCCATATTCGCTCAGGTTCTTGAATCTGAACTGAATCCATTGTTTCATTTTTCTTCCATCCTTATGTTAAATTACTGTATTTTATGGCACGTAAGGCGCACGACAGAAGTATCATGATGGTAAATAAGTATCATATACAAGGGTTAACTACCCTTTTACTTTATGCTAAAGCATAACATGAAGACTACCTTGAGCACGTAAGGCGCAGGTTGATTTTCCAAGACTTTTGAGGTAAAAAAGGCATGCCACATGTGCCGGAAAATACGGACCTCCCTATCCTAGCATTTGTAGCTCAATTCCCCAGACAATCCACCATTCACTAAAGGCTCACTCATGGGACTGCAGTCCACTTCTCAGAAATGCTCCCTGTATGGAAAATTGATACGCTGCACCACAGTCTCCAGTGACACACAACCGCAAAAAGAGGAATGCATTAAGTTCATATATTATCAAGATACAGCTACTCTAGTACCTATTGTAATTGGCATACATTTTTTTTTTTTACTAATCATTGTCAGCCTTATAAAAATGTCTATACATGATGCATACATCACCATAAATGGAGCTCAAAGTGAATTTAAGGCATCTTGTTAAAGACTACGCTAAACATTCACACATTGGATACAGAGTTTATGGGAGGTAAATCTTTACATTAATGTTTTAAAATATCTTACTACTCTTAAAATATGAGATAAAATACAAGTATTCTCTGTGAATATAATATGCCATTAATATGACTTCGAAACTAACTAAAAACACTGTTTTGTATAATGTTACAACCCAAATTAGTTATTATTCATTTTTAAGACACCAAATGTTAAATGATTCAAAATTTGTTAACTATATTGAAAGTTGTTGTTTTTTTAACAAACGTTTTCCCTTCAGCTTTCACTATTATCATACAGTACTTGAAAAAACTGGAAGTGGATAAAAACGAAGGCAAAAATAAGAGTGAATCTTCACACAGCAGGTAAACACACCAATGAAGAACGAAAGATCAGGACATACTACATCGAGAATGAAGGCACCATACTGTATGGAGCAGATTCTACTTGGACTAACCTGCACAAGGATGGAAAGTGGCAATCAGAACGGAAAACAGAGCGCAGAGCTTCCGCCCCCAGCACCCAGGAAAATACACCGACAAAGAGGACTGCTGTCAGTAGAGTGACGAAGCACAGGAAAAGAAGTAATGCTGAAAGCAGTAACAAAATAATGCCTCTATCATCAGCAACTGAAGTGAAATATTTAATGAACTGCCAAGTGGTAGTGGCCGTCAAGAACGGCATTTTCAAGAGGCAAATAACGTACAGAAAACAAAAAAAGTAGAGCCCTTCAAAATAAAGAATAATCACTTTTGTTTGAGGAGGGAATAAGGACGAATTATTAAATTTCTAATTCCTGCAGTTGACCTTTATCATCTAATTATATTAAGAAGCTTAATGTAATACGTATCAACAAGAGGAGCAATACCAAGTCCATTTATGCTGAATACACTGTTTAAAAGGCAAGATTCATGGTGTGTTTCAAACAAACTCAATTCAAATCCTTTCTCCAGTGGGGAGAGGTTTGACACTGGGGAATTATTTTGTAAAATCTCTTTTCTGTCACAAACATAAGAGCATCATAGTTAAAAAAAAAAAAAATCAGCAAGATTTACACGATTACTTGTGCCATAGTCTCATGAAATGTCACCCCTAACATCGTAACAGTAGTATCAGCTACGTTGTCTTGCATATGGATGATGTAACACCCGGGTCAATATTTAATAACAAGTACCAATATCAGCGATACTCAAATGATCGTCCCTTAAAACCTACAATTAAAAATTTCTGAAAACCTGAGAATCATGATTACCTAATAATAATGATGTTACCTCAGTGGGAGATGACCAGTGTGTTAAAAAAATATAATAATAAGAACAATAAAGATTTTAGCAAACAAAGGCTCTCCACAAAATAATGTTCACTTCGGTCACACACTCGGTGTTGCAATGGTAGCCCTCGTTCTGCCGACACGTTCCAAACAATGACCCAACACTTGGTCGTAGTTCAACAGTTTGCCAATAATCTTTTGACTGCTAAGTTATTAAGGTAGGAGAGCAAGCTAAACCACAGCTTACGACATCTCCAAAGCTCACACCTAATTCATGTGAGTTCCTGACTCTCACTAAAAGGTTATTAGTTGTTTGGTAGAAATCAGCAGGTACTATTAATGGTTACTTAGTTGCACTGAAGCTTACTGGTCATATGAGTTTAGTGATGATATAACTGGTTCAGTGGCTTTAACTGCTACCCAAGTGTTGTTTCAGAATTGGCTGGCAGTTGTAAGGGAATTTGATTTTCCTTACATAATTTGCAATTTTCAGAAGTTTTTTCATACACTTTTACTCTCCAAAACATATCAGATTAGAAATACTTATTGCTCAAAGCTTAATAAGAAATTGTTAAAAGCCCCTACACCTGTGTAATCAGACACATAATAAAATGAATGTTCGCACCAAGCCTGTCATCTAACAAGGACTATTAGACAGTACAATGCAGGTGAAGGAAGGCCTCACTATTGTCAGCAGCTAAAGGGGCCCAGCCCAAGGGCCAGAAAGAATTGGAATGTGTGGTCAAAGACCACTGGGGTATCACAATGTTGCCACATTGCGGCCTAATTTCTACTCCCTTGGGATTTCATGAGCACTGGTCTGTCATCAGTAGGAAATACCATGTGAATATGATAATGGTATGCAATACCAACAAGTTGATATGACACACATGCAACAGTTAGGTATCTTTATTCTGAAACATTCTGCTTACACAATAAGCTTCTTCAGTTGAGTACAGAGGAGGCAGCAGAAGAGTTGTGAAGACGATGTCATCAGTCCAACATCCTTGAAGACAGTCCCTCAGCTGAGGGACTGACCACCTCAAAACTGTCTTCAAGTGTGATGGACTGATTACATTGTATCTCTGGTGCTTCTGTTGTCTCCTCTGTACTTGACTGAATAAGCCAAGTGTATAGGGCAAATGTTTTTGAATAAAGATACCTGTTACATATGTATTCTACTTATCAGGAAATATCATCTAAGGCTCTGGCTACTAGGAAGAATTTATAAGGTTTTCTCATAGCATCTCTCACAATTATACAAATATTGCAATACCACTTATGGAATAGAGATTTCACTAAATCTGTTATCATGGTCATGATAAAGTACTATGTATCTACAATCGAGAGCATTACAGGTAAAAGTACTTACACATGCGACCTATGCACCAATATCCAGCTTTTAACCACAGCACCAAATCAACAAAATATTGTAATTGTAATTTCATAAACCAGAGGGCAATTAACCTCCATCTGGAAATGACGGAATTCTCACAGAATTAAAATTAGTATATGAATACTGACGTATTTGCTAGATTTAATATTTGCATCGCATGTACCTCGTATACCTGACTAAATATCACCATGTATACATAAATTTTCCTTAGGTCAAGATCTTAGCATTTAATAAAATAACGATGACAGCGTGTTTGAGTCCAGTAGCCGATCCCGAGGGTCCCCGAGACAAATCACATAATCTGGGAGCTTCAGCTACTGTCTGCGTTGTTTCAGAAGCATCCATCCCTCCAGTCATCCTGTGCCTGGGCTTGGAACCTAGGCTGAACTATGCCTGATCTGCAAACAAAATAATAAACATTAATTTAGGATCAAACTTTGCAATACTCATTGTAATGTTGTGTACCTTAATGTTGTGTACTGTGCCTTACTAATTCCATGAAAAATCAAGATGCCATGTGAATTACGTTTATGTTTTGCAAAACAGTTGGAGAAATGATATAGTTAATAAATATACACATTTGCAAATGGTTAGCTGGACTTGAGTCCTGGGGGCTGGAAGTACAGTACCCACACTCGTTTATTTTGTTACCCATATTCGGTCTGTTTACAGCATTTCTGTTATTATTATTGTAATTTATATATGCAGCCTCTCCTCACTTAGCGACATACTCGTTTACCAACCACTCAGACTTGCGATGGGCTCTCTGACCAGAATACATACCTAAATAATGTACATCAGAGCTGATTTCCTCTATTCTGTTTATTGCAATATACAGTACACTACTGTATAAACATTTAAAAATACAGTGGAACCTCAAAAATCGAACTTAATCCGTTCCAGGAGCTAGTTCTAAATACGAAAAGTCTGAAATTCGAAGCAATATTTCCCATAAGAAATAATGGAAATACAATTAATCTGTTCCAGAAACCCAAAAATATTCACACAAAAAATACATTTTATAGAGATTAATTAATTTTATATACAACAAATACTATAGTTTTTAATTATGTATAGTAATACATATAAAATAACATTTTTACTTACCTTTATTGAAGATTGGTGATGGCGTCTGGAAGATAGGGAGGAGGAGAGAGGGAGTTGGGGTTAGTGTTTGGAAGGAGAATCCCCCTCCATGAGGACTTCAGGTAAAGCCCTCTCTGGGGTTACTTCCCTTCTCTGTCTTTTAATGCCACTAGGACCAGCTTGAGAGTCACTGGACCCCTGTCTCACAAAATAACTGTCCACAGTCCTCTGTTTCTGGCGCCTCTTTAACATTTCCTTAAAATGGGACATGGTTCTGTCACTGAACTTGTTGCAAAGATGGCTTGTTTCAGCTTGCTCAGGGTGGTACTTCTGCACAAACATTTGGACATCATTCCACTTGGCACAAATCTCCTTAATCTTTGAAGAAGGCACCTCATCCACTCCCTATATTAACACCTTTCGCAACATCAGCTTCCTTGATTTGTTCTTTCTTTGACAGGATAGAACCGATGGTCGACTTGTTTTTCCCATACATCCTGGCAAGCTCAACAAGTCTCACACCACTCTCATACTTCTGTATTATTTCCTTCTTCACACCTATGGTGTTTCTCACTTTCTTTACCACAGGGGTACCACTAGCAAGTTTCTTTGGGCCCATGGCAGCTTATTTCACAGTCCCACAAGCACTAAACACAACGAAATAATTGTAAAATACGTGAATGAGAGCGCAGGTTAGTGTTCACTCAAGCATAAACAAAGCTAGACTGCTCACGGCGCCTGAGCGGGGACGCAGACAGAGCGGGCGGCAGACAGGTCCCGTACCCGGCGGTCCGAAAATAAGGGCGCGTTCGATAATAGGGACACAGTTTGTCAGTAAAAAATGGTCCTATTTTCGAAACGTTCGATATGTGATACGTTCGATTTTTGAGGTTCCACTGTACACCAGAAATGTTATAAATGGTACAAAGGTGACATTAAAACAATATCAAAGATGGATGACACAAACCCACTAACATTATAGTATGCTCCTCACTTAGCTACGAATTTGTTTACTGACAGTCTTAGGAATGAAACTCCATCGTTAAGTGAGGAGAGGCTGTATATTTGTGGCCTAGTGCAACTGCTCACTTAATAAGTGAGTGTAAACATGTTTTTAGGTTTTTATATGCCCTGGCAAGTGAAAAACAAGCAGTGATTCGTTTAAAGGTAATACATACTGGCTTTACAGTGGAGGTCTGAAGCCTAGCCCCCACCATATTAATGAGGTATGCCTGTAGCTGTTTAACCCTTTCAGGGTTGACAGGCCTTCTTCCAAACTTGTTCTCAGGGTCAAACAATTTTCGAAAAAAAAAAAAAACTTACGAAATGATAGAGCAAATTTTTGCGAGTGTTATAGGCCAAATTTTTTTTTTTTATGATCAATACTTACTGAGATATAGAGGCCTGAAGTTGACAAAGTGAGTCGCTTATGGCAATATCGCTGGCTGCCAGTCACATGGTAATAGTTCATTTATTTTTTTCTACTTTTTTTCATTTAGTTTTTAACATTTGATTTTTTCAAGTAACTTTTATGGCCTGTGAGACCAATATAAGCCATATTTTTGATATATACACTCATTGTGTACTACACAATAACTGCACAAACATTAACAGGTGAACATTTTCACCTATTTTAGAAGTATACGTACATAGTATTTATAGGTCCCAGCAATGTTTTGGTGGGGAAGGGAGCGAGGGTTTGTGTAAACAACATGGCTGACTGGCTGGCTGACCAGAAGGCTGGCTCTGTCTCTGACATTTGATGGGGGTACACTGCCTTCGCAATATTTGTGTTCACTTTTCACAAACATCTCTGTCTGTTTGCTTGTCTTTCTCAGAAGAGAGCCACTAGTGAACCAACACATATTACACACAATGCAGTAGTCACTGCGTCACATCTGAGTCCTGATACGTATTATTTGCCAGTCTGGATTTTTTTTGGTTATCCTAGGTAATTTACACTATGCATAATTGTATTTATGTGTGCCTGTGGGACGGACGGACAGACAGCCTGACAGCCAGACAGTCAGCCAGCCAGATAGCCAGCCAGCCAGATAGCCAGCTAGATAGCCAGCCAGACAGCCAGTCAGATAGCCAGCCAGCCAGATAGCCAGTCAGCCAGATAGCCAGACAGCCATAAAGCCAGCCAGCCAGATAGCCAGTCAGCCAGATAGCCAGCCAGATAGATAGCCAGTCAGCCAGCCAGCCAGTCAGATAGCCAGCCGGATAGCCAACCAGTTAGCCAGCCATGCTGTTTACACAAACCCACGCTCCCTTCCCTACCACCCACACTGCCCCCCCCCCCCCACCACTGCCTTCCTCACCACCCACACTGCTGGAGAGTGAGGTATTCCTTATCACTTGGTTTGGTGACAAAAGAGCACTGAATTACCACTCCCACAATGCGATGTGGGTGCATGGATTTTTTCCTACTGCACACACCACATAGACCCATTCTATCACATTCAGGCCCTGAAAGGGTTAAAGAGCAATTTGGAAGATGGTGTTTTTCCTTTAATAAAACCCTCTACATGGTATTTGTTTTCAACTGTCTTGTTGAACCCTGAAACAGTAGAGGCAAACACTGATAAATGTAGTTTCAAAGATCCAGCAATATTACAGAGCCAGCATTTAATGGGGTCTTAAATTTACGAGCTTATAATTCGGGGCGTGCCAAAGTACAGTGGTACCTTGAGTTTCGAACAGCTCCCAGCTAGAACAATAATACAAGTGTATTTTTCTAAGTGCTTTTGTAAGTGTATTTTTGGGGGTCTCAAATGGACTAATCTAATTTACGTTATTCCTTATGGGAACAATTCGTTCAGTATCAGCACTCGAACAGCCTTCTGACTGAATTAATTTTGTAACTCGAGGTACCACTGTATCAGTATTGGTGGCTATCAGTTAATTTTGATGGTATCACTGTAGGCCTAAAAGTATCAGTATCGGCTAAATTGTATGGCATCGGTATCAGCAAAAATTGTGATACTGTTCCATTCCTACTCACAATAATAGAACTACTTTACCTTAAATCCCTCAAAAATAAATGAGTCATTAATTACTTTAATCAATTCCTGCTGAAATATACAATACTGTATTTCATGGTGAAATAAACTATGATATTGCTACTTCTACTTACACTTAGGTCACGCTACACATACATGTACAAGCATATAGTATGTACACACCCCTCTGGGTTTTCTTCTATTTTCTTACTAGTTCTTGTTCTTGTTTATTTCCTCTTATCGCCATGGGGAAGTGGAACAGAATTCTTCCTCCATAAGTGTTGTAAGAGGCAACTAAAATGCCGGGAGCAAGGGGCTAGTAACCCCTTCTCCTGTATATATTGCTAAATGTAAAAGGAGAAACTTTTGTTTTTCCTTTTGGGCCACCCCGCCTCGGTGGGATACGTCCGGTGTGTTGAAAGAAAGAAAGATTCAAATAATTACATATATTGGTACTCTAACAATTAATGTTTCTTAATCTTGTCCTAAACACTTTACATCATAATGTAAATAGTATTAGAATTACAGTGGACCCCCGGTTAACGATTTTAATCCGTGCAAGAGGGCTCATCGTTATGCGAAATAATCGTTATGCGAATGAATTTTCCCCATAAGAAATAATGGAAATAAAATTAATCCGTGCAAGACGCCCAAAAGTATGAAAAAAAATTTTTTTTACCACATGAAATGTTAATTTTAATACACACAAACTGAAAAAGGCATGCACAATTAAATGACACTTACTTTTATTGAAGATCTGGTGATGATTGATGGGATGGGAGGAGGGGAGAGAGTGTGTTAGTGTTTAGAAGGGGAATCCCCTTCCATTAGGACTTGAGGTAGTAAGTCCCTTTCTGGGTTACTTCCCTTCTTCTTTTAATGCCACTAGGGCCAGCTTCAGAGTCACTGACTTCTTTCGCACAAGATATCTGTCCATAGTGGCCTGTACCTCTCGTTCCTTTATGACTTGCCTAAAGTGTTTCACAACATTGTCAGTGTAATAATCACCAGCACGGCTTGCAATAGCTGTGTGAGGGTGATTTTCATCCATGAAGGTTTGCACTTCAAGCCACTTTGCACAGATTTCCTTAATCTTTGAAGTAGGCAACTTCTTCAATTTCTCTCTCTCCCCTCCTCCGAAGCAATTTCCTCAGGTGTGGCCTCTTGCTGTTGAAGTTGATCTAGCAGCTCATCAGTGGTTAGTTTTTCATTGTCCTCCTCCACCAACTCTTCCACATCCTCCCCACTAACCTCCAACCCCAAGGACTTTCCCAATGCCACAATGGTTCCTCAACTGGCACAGGATT